TGGCTACACCAAGGTCCAGTGGTGGCTGTGATCCCAGAGATACTGTGTATTCAGGGCCACGACTTTAACCGTGGCGGAGAAAACAATCAATGGAGTCGATCTTCTCTACTTCCCAGAGAAACACCATCCACCCAGCTGTGTGTCACACCAATTCAGACTTTTAATACTAAAGACACATCTTTTTTCCCAGGGTTTTTCATTTTTTTAAATGTTACTTATTTTGAGACAGAGCACGCGCACACAGGCAAGCCAGGGAGGTGCAGAGAGGGAGAGAATCTCAAGCAGGATCCATGCTCAGCACGGAGCCTGATGCAGGGCTCAATCCCAGGACTGTGAGGTCATGACCTGAGTTGAAATCAAGAGTTGGGCGGAGCCACCCAGGCGCCCCTCATTATTTTTACATAAGGCCCCAAATGGAAGGAACTGAAGAGATACTATATTTGGTAGCTATGTATGATGAAGGGGAAGGAAGGGAGGGAAGGAAATGAGAAGAAAAAATAATGATCTACACCTCTTCCCCCCTCCCTCCACACACCCCCCCCTCCCACTCCTGGAAGTTCTTTCCCAACTATGCTTCTGTGTATGTTTATTTCCTAACTCATTCTTTAAGGTTCAACCTCAAATGTTTATCTTTAATGTTTCTTCCCCCCTGAGAGAGAGAGCACAAGCAGGGGAGGGTCAGAGAGAGAGAGGGAGATAAAGAATCTGAAGCAGGCTCCAGGCTCTGAGCTAGCTGTCAGCACAGAGCCTGATGAGGGGCTCGAACCCATGAACCGTGAGATCATGACCTGATCTTAAGTCAAACGCTTAACTGACTGAGCCACCCAGGAGCCCCTCAAATGTTTCTTTTGAAGCCTTGACCATCTGCTTCCAGAAGTGGTCACCCTGTTTTGTTCCACCTTTTATCTTAGACTATATTTATCGTAGCACTTTATGCAACATATTCTAGTTATTTTTGTCCATAGTTATCACTTCTACTAGATTATAAGCTTTGACATCTTGCCACCATTGCTTTCTCATTCTACCATTTTGTGATACATTCGATTCTTTGGCACATGTTCCCTGAGAAGAGACATCCTCTTACATAACCATACTATGATACACTCAGTAAATTTACAGTACCACTTAACATAACCCATGTTAATATTTCCCCAGTTGTGCACATTATAGTTTTCACCTAGGCTCCAATCAAAGATTGTCTACAATTAGTGCCATGTGTCTTTCCCATTCCCCCAACCCCCCACCATTTTAAAAGCAGGCTCCATGCCCAATGTGGGGTTTGAACTCACAACCCTGAGATTGAGTCCCATGCTCCACTAACCCAGCCAGACACCCCTTTCCCTAGTTGTTTTTGCTTTCTTGAGGGAAAGAATTATTCTCTTTATAACCCCAGCCTCCAATAGTGCAAGGTAAACAGCAAGCATTCACTGCCACTTAATGGGTAAATCAAGAGGCTCAACAAACATCTGGTTGCCTAGAGCTCATTAACTGCCCCAGCCCGCTGCGCAGCTGAGCCTTTCTCAGTAAAGGAAGGTAATCCTTGACAGGAAATGAGGCAAAGCGAGCAAGAATACAGAAGCCCATGGCAGAGACAAGCCATGGAAATGGAATCTTGGAAGGGGTAAAATCTGCAATAGTGTTCTTGGCCCTCACGGATGTCCCGCCAGTTAAGAATTACAATTCTACTCAGGTGAAGAAAGGAACTGCAAAGGGAAAGCAGGTCTGGTGTGGGTCCAGAGAACTGCATGTATTTTTTTTTTTTTTTACCTCACAAGAATCAGGAGTAAAGAACACTGAATTCTCAGGGCGCCTGGCTACCTCAGCTGGTGGAGCCTGTGACTCTGGATCTCAGGGTAGTAGGTTCAAGTCCCATGTTGGGTGTTGAGATTACTTAAAAATCTTTTAAGGGGTGCCTGAGTGGCTCAGTCGGTTAAGCGTCCGACTTCAGCTCAGGTCATGATCTCACAGTTCATGGGATCAAGCCCCGCATCAGGATCTGTGCTGACAGCTCAGAGCCTGGAGCCTGCCTCGGATTCTGTGTCTCCCTCTTTCTATCCCTCCCCCATTTGTACTCTCAAAAATAAATGAACATTAAAAAAAGAGGAAAAAAATCTTTTAAGTAGGCTCCACGCCCAACATGGGGCTTGAGCTCATGACCCTGAGATCACCAGTTGCATGCTCTATCAACTGAGCCAGGTAGGTGCCCCGAAAATAAAATCTTAAAAAGAAAACAAAAAACACTGAATTCTTAGGTCTGTTTCATCTGCTGGAGACATATTGCCAACCCTCTTCTTTCCACATGCTTCACATAACTAAGATAACACTAACAACCCGGAAACTAAGAAGGTCCAGTTAAGTTTTCAAATCTGGACAAGGAGAAGGCTTTGATTGGTGCGGTAGGGTTCAGAAGACAAAGTTCTCTAATCATTGAACAAGTGGGGCCAAAGAGAACCAGGGATAATGGAAGAGTGATCACCTTGAACTCCAGGAATAAAGAGCCCATGCTCTGGGTATCTGGCTGGAGCCATGCTCCACACCATTTTATCAGTTAATTTTCGTAAAATCCACCAGCTGTTCACAACTGCTTTAAAGTCTTCTGAAAGGAAATTGTATGAAGTAAGAGGTAGCCCCAAAGTTGCAAAAACAGGAACTGAAAGACAAAGTCTTGGTTGTGTCGAATGAAGGGAAGTGTTGAATACTTTGACTCCCTCAGCGACTCGTGTTACCTGGTTACCATTTGAACCAAGTTTTTAATAAGGTGTTCAACTAAGGAGCTAAAGATGTGAAGCCACAGAACGGCTTCACATCACAATCTATCAGGGGGAGCAACAGCACTGTGTAGAACTCAGCGGGGGCCGAGACGCGGATCCATGGGCCCTAGGCTCCCCTCCCTCTGGCTCTCTGCTCAGGGGCGCACTGGCATGTATCGGCTTTCTCTGTAAGGAGAGAGATTTGCAGTCTGCTGGTAGTCAGGCTCCAGAAAGAGGCGCGTTCCCAAGCAGAAATGTACTTTTAAAGGCATAAAAAGCACAGAATCCTGTTCGGACAATTAACATTTGGTGCTCAGGGCTTAGAACCAATATGCAAACTTCCTATTTGCACATTTCCATGGTGATTCAGCTCCCTTCCTTTCAACGTAGTTGAAGATAAAGGCAGGATAGGGTTTCTGTAATTTAACTGCTTATTCCCCACTTCTGTTTTGAGGAAAGGGGCAAAGTACTGAAACATTAGTACATGACAAGAATCTTATGAAAACTCTTAAACTGTGGATGTGAATTCTTCTAGCTCCTTCGTCTGAAAAGGCTGAGATGTGGAGATACCGTAAATGCAGTAACGAACCAGCTTACCTCAAAATCACACCAGCACGTGGTGGGCTAAAAGAAAATCCAGGACAAGGATTTTGATTCTCATATTAAAATGTTCAGGAATTCCTCCAAAGCACAGCAGTAATGCATTTTAAAACCCAACGCCTCTAATTTCAATGAAAACGGTTATTCTGAAGGAACTAGCCTTTGCTCTAAAGCAAATCAGCTTTATGGGGCTTCGGCTGGTTAACTCACCTATGCTTATCTGCTCAGCTGACTTCCCTAAAAAGGCCTGCCTAAGTGGGGGGAAGGAAGACAGTCATCGATTAGAAAACACCCGTACCACACCTTGCATTTGAATAAAAGATTTATTATTTTCTTCTCAGGAAAAACAGGAAGTTAGGGAAACACACTACATTTTACAGCCCACATTAATCTGTAGTTGGTCCGGACCCGTCCTGGCACAGCTGTCCGCAGCACGAGCTGTTTAACCAGAACCAAGATGTTCACCCCCAAAGAGTGGAACATGGGCACTAGCGGACTGCATGTTTTTCCCTGAGAGAAGCAGAAGAGAAGCTGCTGCGAGCCAGCGCCCCACACGCCCCCTCCCCTTGCCATTCCAGAGGACTTGCCTGAACTCTGCGGCTCGTCAGCACTTAGAACACGTGCCTCTTCTCCCTAGAAAACCGCCCAACCTTCCCCAGAGCACCTGGGCTGAGCCCTCAGTGCCCCTGACCCGAAGTTTCATGAAGACCCTCCTCTACATTTCAGCAGTCATACCCAGAAAATCGGGAAGTGGGTTCCCTAAACTCCACCGATTTCCACCTACGCGCTTATTTCCACAAGTGGAGATGGGGAGACAGGCCTTTTAGTCACCTTTACCAGATCTTCAGATCAATTAAAAACTACGTAAAGTGCTTTTAGGTCCTTAGAGATAGACAGGACATAAATAAGTGGTTCGTGATCAAGGATGATAAATACACAAGTAAAAATAGCTCTAGCTAGATGACCGTATGGCTCGAAGATGGGGAGGCAGGGCAATCCTTCCCTACTTATTACATTCTTAGTCATTTTATTCATGCCTATTTTCATCTGGAGTCCAGAGACCAAAGGTTACATTCCGAGGATGAAGCTTTCAAATGCCCCTAGGTCTACTGCAGAAGCCTTCTTCAGTTGGCCAGTTTTTATAGAACTCGGAGGCCTAACAGAGCCCATCCCTTTCTAGAATTTTAAATGAGCATTTTCAAACACAAAGGAACCTAGAGAAAGTCACATCATCTGTTGTCCCCTTCTCTGAAAATCCCTAAAGGGACTTTAAAAACTCCCCCCCCACCCCCCCCACAAAGACAGGATAAAAGAGTAACTGAAAAGGTACCAAAGGAAAAGAGATTCCTCCCACCATCGGTCTGTTATGGTCATGGTGCCCACTTTACTACCTACCATCTCCCAGGGACAAAATTCATTAAGGATGAAAGTCTGTGGTCTCTTGTGGGAGGGAGGGGGTTACTTAGGGTTCTTAGTGCCAAAAACTAAAAGGGCTAGTGAGAGGTCAGGGATGGCATGGTAAGAATGTAGGAATTGACGTAACTATTTGTAGAAAGAGAACAAGCAGCAAATAAACAGTCTGATAAAACATCAAGCCTGAAATCCAGAGATGCCAATGCAAAAATTTGAACAAAGTTTGGGAATCACTGATAGAAACGAAACGTAAGTATTTGTTTTATTGATAGGCTTAGACCTGTGTTTAACAAGCAAGCCTAATAATAGCACCATGGTTAGACTATAAGCCTGCTTTTCCAAGCCATCATTTTACAATTAAGCAAACAAGGGATCAAATGTCTCTCACACACCTGATGGGATCTTTTCATACACATACTATTAGCAAGTCCCATTTGGAACAGCTGGAAATCTTTTAGCAAAAGCTTTGAAGATGAGCTCATAAACTCCATTTAAATGTCCCCAATTAGGCCAAATGGAAGGAACTCAAATGAGTAGCTGCCCAATCAGAACCCATTAATGGTTCTAGGTCATCAGCCCGCCCCGCCCACCAAACTTACAACTCCACCTTGACTCAATTATTGAAACCCCACATGGAAGTGAAAGGATGAACTTCCATTCAATGTCTCAGTCGCAGTTAAAAAAAAAAAATCTAAGGAATACTTACCAGATCAGACAGGAAAATTAAAGTCTGCATAGTTAGGAATCAGAATTGCTCCACTACAACCAAGTTGCACACACTTACACCAACCGGTTCTGTATACAATCTATGAGGGACCAGGACAAAATTTAGAATAGAAAAGCTGTAAGAAATAGACTCCTAACTACAGAAGTTGAAAATCTGAAACAGGTATGAAAAAAGTAATGTATTTTGAGATTTTTCATCCCTTTACATTTCAAAATACGTTTTACTTTCTGTAAAAATATATACAATTTTTACAGACAAATACAAGGTGTTGTTTTAAAAATTGAGGATATTTTCATATTTGCAACTGTCATCATTGAGCCTTAAGTCAAGTATTCTTGGCCATTACTAGGCTAATAAACCACTCAAACCAAGCCAAAGTAGAACAGGTATAAAAAGTCCTGAGCACTTGGACTTTCAAGAAGTACACCTGGGAAGAGCTAATTGCAGAGAAAAAGCTTCCCTTCACACTCTGTTGTACAGTACTGAGGCTTCTAGTCATAGATCTATTTATTACCTGTAGCTCAAATCCATTTTCTACAGATCATTGCCATTGTTAGTGCTTCTCTTTTAACACTATAAGAAGTTAATTATTTCGGTGGGCATATTTAATGGACTCTATGACTAGCCTGGCTACTGGCCACTCTCCTGTTCTAGAAAAGGAAATCAAGTGTCTTCCACCTTGCCACCTTCACTAAATCTAAAAGTCCTCCTCCATCTTCTCCCAGGTTGCCTGTTGCCGAAATTGAACCTTGCTTTAGACAGTGACGCTTCAAGGAGGTCTACTTCCTCCATGTATTTATTCCTGTCAGCCATAATCCTCTTGCCACTTGCTCTTCTAGTTGCTAGAGCAGAACTCTTGGAGGTTACAGCCTGGACAGCCTGAAGTCCAACTTCATAAATACATTTGATTCACAGCAGTTGTTATGTGAGTTTGGTTGCCTGGGGTTGGTTAAGAGTCAATTATTGCACTTAAAAGGCTATCTTATTAGATATGCCAAACCAGCTCCTACTCCAGCAACACCTGCAAAAGCCAGCAGCACATTTCTGATGCCACCTTCTAGGTCCTCTACATGGAAGAACTCCACAAACCCATCCTAGAAAACAAAAAAGGAAAATATATTTTCAAGTATGGGTTTCCAATGGCTTCAGAACACGATTCATAAAGAAAGAGGAATTAAAATATCTAAGCCCCCCCCCCCCCCATAACGAACCAGATATTATTTACACCAGACTACAAAAGACCAATTAAGGGCGGGAGCACTCAGAAACGTTGTTTACGGTCACCCCCCAAATGATTCTTACTTTTTCATAATTTGAGTCCACGGAAGAGCACCCGGCCGAATTACGATACCAAAAGCAATAGTTTCAACAGCGAGTAAAACAGGTCACAGAGGACCGGGATTTTTGATGCACGAATTCGAGACAGCCATGCCACACTACCGCTGTGACCCTCCGCTTACATCAGTACTGGGCAAACGGGTCCGTAAGTCAGCGCCCGCAACCCCGGCCCTTCTCCGCCGGCCCCCCCTTCCGGGTCCGCTCCGGAGGGGGCCCCTTCGCCCTCCAAGCGAACTTACCCAGCCTCTTTGTTTGACCAGCCACTCTCGTTTTGTCCTCACGAGAACATCTGTGATGCTTTCCGCTAATGGTTCGATGCAGCTTTCTTGGTTTATACTCTTCAAGTGTTTGGCCACAAAGGCACCGAAAGAAATAAGAGTCACAATCCTGCCCCAGTTTGTTACTCCGTCACTGAAAACGTGGGCCATCACTCGGGACAAAGATTTAACATCGTCTTCGTTTTTGATGTCCAGTTTCCGAAGCATGCCTGGAGGAAGACAAGCACGCAGGTGCTCACGGCCTCCTTTGTCTAGAGCGGCGCGCAAGTCGCCCGCCCACCCACGGCGGGGGAAGTCGCCCTCTGGGGGTCTAGAGAACTAGGGCCGACCCCAGCCGAAAAAGGGCATCCCACCCTTTCCGGGCTTTGAGCAGGGCTGCCGTGAGCCCAGAATTCACATGGGCGGAAACACTGACTCACGGCCAGAATATTCTGGTTTCGGAAATCGATTGCGAGGCGTTTCAACACGGACTTGTTTTCGGTTTCCACCCCCACTCGGGGTGTGTGTGTGTGTGTGTCCAGGGACAGGTGACCCAGGGCGGCGCAGCCTCCACGACCCCCTTACCTTGGAAGGCCGTCTCGTGGTTGCGCTGCACGCCGTCGCCGACCCGCCGGAGGGTCTCTAACGCCTTTCGGCTGGCCGTCCCGGACCCGCCCAGTGGCTTCGCGTCCTTGGCGCCGGTCGCCTGCTCGCGAAGGTATCGAGAGATGATCTCCAGCGACTGCCGGAACAACTCGTCGTCCTCCTCCTCTGCCGGGGGTGGCGTCGAGGGCAGTGAGCCGTCCGTGCCAGGGCCACCGCTGGCCTCCCCGACCAGCTCCAGCAAAGGCAGGACGGCCGGCCGCTTCCCCAGGGGCTCCGGCTCGTACCCGTCCAGCTCTTCTTCGGGCGACATGATGGCGTCGGCCGCGGGGCCGTCCATCTCTTCGGGCGGCGGCGCACAGCGGGTGGCCGCGAAGAGCAGCAGCTTCGGGGGGGTCTCCGTGACGTCGGGGCCCTCGGCGCCAATGGGCGAGGGCCGCGCGACCCTCCGGGCTTCGGGCGCGAGAGTGGCCGGGGGGCTCGCGCCGACGCTTCCGCCAATCACCGCACCGGCTTCCCCTCCCCCGCCCTCCCGCCGGCCCGTGGCCTCCTTCCCCACGGCCAAAAGCCGCCCTCCCGAAGAGGAGGCGCCGCCGCTCCCGGCCCCCAACCCGGCCCCCCCACAGTAGAGGTTGAGTCCAATTACGGCGTTTCTCTTGAGGCCAAACATCGTGAGTTGCTGCTGCCGCCGCCGCCGCCGCCGCCTCCTGGGTGAGAAAAATGGGGGAGGCCCTGGCTCCTCCGTTGAAGGAAGCGGAAGTAAGGAGTGAGAGAGCCTCTCCTATATCAAGGTTTCAGGGCCAGTCCTGCGCCGTGGCGTCAGCAAATCTTTTTTTAAAAAAGGGGGGAGGTACTCCCATAAAAGGGGAAAGGGGAGGAAGCTTCCGGAGAGCTGAGCACGGCACTGGCGGCCGGTAGAGGTAGGGGCGGGGCTTGGGGGCTGGGCGGGGTCTTCCGGGGCTCGGGGGCGCGCGGTCGGTTACGTAACGGCAACCCGGGCGCTGGGGCTGGTGGGCTCGAGCCCTGCAGCTGTGCGGACGTGGGTCAGCTCATGGCCGCCTGGCTGCGTCCCAGGCTCCTGGTCGGCGAGCCCCTGCTGTTGCTTCTGTGGCGGAGGTTTTTTTTTTTTTTTTCTTCCCGGTACCAAAGTCTTACCCATTGAGTGACTCAGAGAGGAAAGGGGATGAAGAAGTTATGCCATGGCTGGGGAACGACAGCCTAGATAATACGGGTTCTTGGGGCTCCTGGGAGGCTCAGCGGGTTGAGCCGCGGACTTCTGCTCTCGTGGTGATCTCACAATTCGTGAGTTCGAGCCCGCATCGCCTGGCCGCTGTCAGCACAGAGCCCGTTTCAGATCCTCTGTCACCCTCTTTCTCTGCCCCTCCCCCACTCATGCTTGCTCGCTCTCTCAAAAATAACCACCCCTACCACTTAAGTATCTGGGCAAGCCCTAAAACCATGGAGATTTTACAACGTGTGGCAGAGAGGATGGAGAGAAATAACCTGTGGTGGTAATGAATAAGAAGTGATTTGTCTAAAAAACTAATGATCTTGTACAGCAGTAACTATCATGCCGAATGAAATATATGCTCTGTAAGAGGCAACTTCCTTTTGGAGTCAAGAGGTTGGAAAAATCACTGGGGGCTAGGAGAGCTAGATGACCTTATGGAAGAAGTAGCTTTTCTTGTGGGCTTTCTAGAATGCAATTTTACCAGATCGTCAAGAGGAGAGAGATTGAGGAAACAGTAAGTGCAAATTTTTTTATTCTTCAGAGGTTGAAAAAGGAAATGCATTGCAGGTTTCGCTTTACATTGGTGGCCAGGCAGCTCCAGTGGTCAGCATTCCTGTCACATTTCCTCAGTCCATTCACTCTCCTGTGGTCCAGGTCCACTACCGCACACCTCGCCCGTCTGTCCTTAAACTTCCAGTGTTCCCTCCTCCCTTCCTCATTCTCAGCCGTTTCACTTGTGCATTGAAAACATGGAAGCAATTAGAAGAGAAAAACTTCCATTTCTCCCCACCGAATTTACTAATTTACTCCTAGCCCCATTCTGTCTGCTTTTCCTGTGGTTAAAATGAATGAACCTTCCCTGCTCTCTCAGATCAGCCTCTTCACTTACGCGTTGGATCCCACTTTGCCTCAAGTACTCGCAGTCTATCCCTTGATATTCTTGCATCAGTTTCTCTCTGTCGAACCATTCATTCCTACCAACGTACCAACCTGATGTGCTCTCTCAGATCTTCAAAAAGCCTTCCCTAGAAACTCAATTCTTTGATGCTCTCCTTTATAGCAGGCATCTTCAACCTCCCTACCAACTTACTCTGTTGAGCCCATCCCAGTCGAGCCTTCATTTTCATCATTCCACTGGAACCATTCTCGTCATGAGTGACCTCCCCATGGTCAAATTCTAGAGGTCAATTTGTAGTTCTCATTTTACTTGACTTTTGCACAGTATTTTTTTTTTAATGTTTTTTATTTATTTCTAGGAGAGAGAGAGAGTGTGAGCAGGGGAGGGTCAGAGAGAGAGGGAGTCACAGACTGAAACAGGCTCCAGGCTCTGAGCTGGCAGTCAGCACAGAGCCCGACGCGGGGCTCGAACCCATGAACCGCGAGATCATGACCTAAGCGAAAGTCGGACGGACGCTTAACCGACTAAGCCACCCAGGCGCCCTAGACTTTTGCACAGTATTTGATGGGGTTGATCATTCCATTCTTGAAACGATGTCTCTCTTAGGGCATGCACTCTCTTGGTTTTCCTTCTTCACCCTGGCCACTGTTCAGTTTCATTCATCTCTTCACTGGCTTTCCACTTGATGCTACTGTGTTTCCCTTTGTAACCTTAGCCATGCCTAGACACTCCATTGTTGAATGGATGAATCTGAATGTTTACTAATATGGGGTCTATAAAGCCTAGAAAAGTGGGATGGGTGATATTATTGAGGGCTTTGAAAGTTGGCTGAAGAGCTTTGAACATATTTCTTCTAGGCAGTTGGGATCCGGTGCTCACTAGGGTACCATGATCAATGCTATAATTCAGGTTTAATATTCTAATTGTGGGTTTTAGAATGGATTGAGGGAGAAAGGATTGGAAGCAAATAAATCAGGAAGTACTACAGTATGATAGGAAAGAATTATAGGTGGACTGTGCTTTGGTGATAGTGGTAGAAATGGAAAGGATGACATGGAGAGACACTGTGGAGGCAGGTCTATAGTGCTTGATGACTAAGAGGATGACAGAACAGTGTGTGACATGCTCATGATGTAGGCATCTGTATTACACAAGATTAACAGGTAGACCACCTTCCAGACTCCTGTAGACTGCTCACTGATCTCAGCAGTAGGCAAGGAGGTCTGTGCAGTTTAGAGGCAAGGAGTCAGCGTGTCTCCAGGATATTTGGAAGGTCCTGTCCTCAGGGAATTTGAATTCACTCAGGACTTCTGATCCCTAGTATTGTTCAGAGTCAGAGTAACCTCTGGCTTTGTGTACACAAGAATGGTTCTTGTTGTTAGGGTAACTATTTTGGCCACAGCCCTGACCCTGAAATGAATAGCAATGTTGACATCGTGACTGTGCCAATATTTTTTTGTAGGCATGTATTAATTCCTTTGAAACTTCCCCAAACTGTGAGCACATTTCCTCTTCAAAATGTGCCTTTGTTTCAGAGAATTCATTTACATCATTTCTTTTAAAATAGAACAAGCCAGGTCTCCGTGCAGGAACTAAGATGTATCCTAATAGGCTTATTCTTGCAGTCTTTTGGGGCCTCAAACTGGGCATACTTAATATTTCATGTTGCCTTCCCCTGTCTGTAAAGAAAAAAATGCTCTAATCCTTATTGCTTCTCTTAATTACTCATCTCTCTTATTCCTCAGCCTGGTAAAGCATGTTTTTGGTTTTGTTTGGTTCTTGGGCCCTATATATAAACTTGAGTTTTGGAAGCCTCTCCACATAGAAATTTCCAGAATTACGGGAACACCCTGTTCCCTTCCACTAAGGTGAGGCTAATCTTTTGCCTTTAAGCTTTATGTTTTCTTTATACCGTACTCTTTTTTTTTTCCACATTTCAAACTTTTATTTACCTCAACAATGAAGAAATCAACAGAATGACAAAACTGTTTCCATGAAGATGACAAATTGAGATTTATATTATCAGGGAAAGAACTGCTGAAGAAGGATGCTCAGGTACAAAAGCAGTTAATGTCCCATCAGGCAATAAACTTTAACTTTGGGGTTATTTTCTTTAGTATACTAGAACAAAATCCCTGCACCTTCTTAGTTTTCTACACATTACCCTCTAAATTTGAAGTTGTAAAACTTTAGGGTGCTAATCAAACAAAATTACATTCCCCAAGATAATCTGGTGACCCAAAGGTGGATTTACTTGAAAATGCTCTAGCATTGGGGTACCTGAGAGGCTCAGTCTGTGAAGTGTCAGACTCTTGATTTCGGCTCAGGCCGTGTTCTCAGAGGCATGAGACTGAACCCCATGTCGGGCTCTGCACTGACAGCACACAGCCTGCTTGGGATTTTCTCTCCCTCTCTCTCTGCCCTTCTCTCACTCTCAGGTGTGTGCTCTCTCTCAAAATAAATAAACTTAAAAAAAAAAAAAAAAGAGGGGCACCTGACTGGCTCAGTCGGTTAAGCAGCCGGCTTTGGCTCAGGTCATGATCTCACAGTTGTCCGCTCGAGCCCTGCGGTGGGCTCTGTGCTGACAGCTCAGAGCCTGGAGCCTGCTTCAGATTCTGTGTCTCATTCTCTCTCTGATCCTCCCCTGCTCACGTGGTCTCTCTCCCTCTCTCAGAAATAAATAAAACATTAAACAAAATTTTAAAAAAAGTGCTCTAGCATGATATTAAAAGATCATGGCCTTGTATATTTATTTATTTATTTACTTAACTTTTTAATATTTTGTTTTGATGTTTATTTTTGAGAGAGAGAGACTGTGGGAGCAGGGGAGGGACAGAGAAGAGAGGGAGACACACAATCCTAAAGAGGCCTCAGGCTTTGAGCTGTCAGCACAGAGCCCGAATAGGGGCTCAGATCCACAAACGGTGAGATCATGACCTGAGCCAAAATTGGATGCTTAAACAACTGAGCCACCCAGGCGCCCCCTGGCCTTATTTATAAGGTGTGCATAATTTTTCCTAAACAATCCCCTCTGTAACCGTAATCTCTAATGGTTATTTATTTCTTTTAAGTTTATTTATTTTTGAGAGAGAGACAGCATGAGTGGGGGAGGGGCAAAGAGAGTGGTTAGAGAGAGAATCCTAAGCAGGTTCCACACTGTCAGCGCAGAGCCCCATGCAGGGCTCAAACTCACAACTGTGAGATCATGACCTGAGCTGAAACTAAGAGTCAGACATTTAACTGAGCTACTCAGGCACCACTCTAATGGCTATTCTTGATAACACACTAAAATGTTTATCTCCTGGGGCTTTTTTGTTTGAGAAAGAGAGAGAGAGAGAATGAGAAAGATAAGAGTAGGGGAGAGGGGCAGAAGGGGGGAGAGAAGAAATCTTAAGCAGGCTCCATGCTCATCATGGAGTCAGACACGGGGCTCCATCTTTCCACCCTGGGATCATGACCTGAGCCAAAATCAAGAGTCAGATGCTCAACGAACTGAACCACTCTTAAGCAGGCTCCATGCTCATCATGGAGTCAGACACGGGGCTCCATCTTTCCACCCTGGGATCATGACCTGAGCCAAAATCAAGAGTCAGATGCTCAACCAACTGAACCACTCAGGTGCCCTGGTCTCCTATTTTCTGTGTGTGTGTGTGTGTGTTTGTTTTTTAATGTTAATTTTTGAGAGAGAAAGAGACAGAGTGCAAGTGGGGGAGGGGCAGAGAGAGAGGGAGACACAGAATCCGAAGATTGCTCCAGGCTCTGGGCTGTCAACAAAGAGCCTGACACGGGGCTTGAACTCACAAACTGCAAAGTCATGACCTGCCTGATCTGGGTTTTTTTCGTTTGTTTGTTTTTTGTTTTTTGGTCAAAATCATCATTTGAACTTCTGGCTTAGTTGGCCATTCTCTCCACTTCTTACTGCATATCAGTACTTTTCCGCAACACGCCTCCAACACCACTGTTTTCCTCCCCTCCCATCACAGCACTGTAATTGTCATCTTTGCCTTCAGGATCATAATTTCAGGCCCTAGTCCCCACAGGTTAAAGTTGCCTATAACTGGGATTCACTAGGCTCTCAGAAGGTGTAACAGACATTGCTAGTTGCCTTTTCCAATATTCATTCTTCTTCCTCTCTTCCAGAGCTCAAAGTTGGCATGGTAGTTCCATTGTGATCAGGATTCCTATTTCTTCTGCCATGTTGTTCTGGTATCTTCATATGTACTCTTTTACTTGATGGTCCAAGATGGCTAGCTTCCGCCGTGTTATCTGCATTCTAACTGGCAGGAAGGAGAAAAGGGTGTCTAGCTTCCTTTAATGACACTTCCCGTAAGTCACATACCATTTTTGTCATTATCCTGTTAGCTAGAAATTAGTCACATGGTCTCTTACCTGCAAGGGAGGCTATGAAGTGTAGTCCTTGTTCTTTTTTTTTTTTTTTAATGTTTATTTATTTATTTTGGGAGAGAGAGAGGGAAGGGCAGAGGAAGCGGGAGAGAGAATCCCAAGCAGAATCCCACTGTCAGCCAGAGCCTGATGCGGGGCTTGATCTCACGAACCCTGAGCTTCATCAAGAGTCCGACGCCTAACCACCTGAGCCACCCACATGTCCCTGTAAGTCTCTGCTCTGAGTGTCTTGTGCTCAGCTAAAAATTGGGGAGATAAAGAGAGAAAGCAGATGCATGAGTGGGGGAGGGGCAGAGAGAGAGGGAGAGAAAAAAGCAGGCGCCAGGCTCTGAGCTGTCAGCAGAGCCCCACATGGGGCTCAGACTCATGGACTGTGAGATCATGACCCCAGCTGAAGTCAGAGCGGTTAAGCACCTGAGCCAGCCAGGCGCCCCGTGAACTCATTTTTGAAGGAAATTTAGGGAACTTTTGAGGTCTGGATTGAAGGTGCTTTCCTCCAGAGGATTTGTGTTTGTTTCTTTCAAGTGCCTGGGGATACTACCAACTTGTAAATTACTTCAAAATAGAATCTGAGCTTGGGGCGCATGGGTGGCTCAATGGGTTAAGCATGGGACCTAGGCGCAGGTCATGGTCTGGAGGCTGGTGAGTTGGTGAGCCAAGACTGAGATAAGGATGTTTCTCTGTGTCTCCCTTGCCGGGGTGGGTGTTTTCTGGTTTACCCTTTCACTGGCAGTGTAGTCAGGGGCATTCCAGCCAGCTGTGCTTTTGGCGCAAGCCCTAGGCTTCATCTGCTGTCTCCTGAGAAGCCATAAAGATGGAAGCTTCGTCACAGGGGGCTAGCAGATGTCTCTCAAACAGCCACCAACTGCAGCCTTATGTTTTTGGAATAATGCTTTTGCCTTTTATATCTGAGCTAGTGTTTTGAGGTGTTTTATCATGGAATAGTTGTCAGAGTACTGGGTCTGTTATGCTGCTAGAATGGAAGTCTGCTTCTCTGTTGAATGGTGGTGTCCCTACACCCTTCTCCCCTGCTACGTTGCAACAAGCCTAGTGTTCCCGCCCTATGTGAGAACAAGCCTAGGTCTGCATTGCCACTGCTGTTTTCTGGCACACAGAAGGTGATCAATACATATGGGGCACCCCAGTGGCACAGTCGGTTGAGTGTCTGACTTTTGATTTTGACTCAGGTCATGATCCCAGGGTTGTGGGATTGAGCTCCATGTCCAGCTCTGTGCTGTGCGTAGAGCCCACCTAAGATTCCTTCTCCTTCTGCCCCTCTCCCCTGCTCATGCTCCCTCTCGCCTAAACAAAACAAAACAAGTATTATTATTTTCTAAAAATTTTTTATGTTTATTTACTTTTAGAGAGAGAGAGAGAGCACACACGCGCGTGCACCCAGGGAAGGAGCAGGGAGACATAGAATCTGAAACAGGCTCCAGGCTTTGAGCTGTCAGCACAGAGCCCAATGTGGGGGCTGGAACCCACAAGTGTGAGATCATGACCCGAGCCAAAGTCAGATGCCCAACTGACTGAGCCACCCAGGCGCTCTGAGAAAAACAATTATTGACTGTATGAAGGTAGAAAGTTAGGAGTTCCCCAAAAGGCAAGAGAGGAAAAAAATTCAGGTAAGGACTGTAAATAGGCCATTGTACTTAGCAATTACATCATTTTGAGAATAGATTTTGTAAATTAATGAGGGCAAAAGCTGAATTTCACTGGGTTAAAGAATAAATAGTAGTTGAAAATTTAAAAATTTATTTATTATCTTTTATTTTTTCAAGTTTGTTTGTTTTGAGAGAGAGAATGAGCAGCAGAGGGGGAGAGAGAGAAGGAGAGAGAGAATCCCAAACAGGCTCTGCACCGTCAGCACAGAGCCCAATGCAGGGCTCAAACTCATGAACCATAAGATCATGACCCGAGCCAAAACCAAGAGTCGGATGCTCAGGGCACCTGGGTGGCTCAGTTAGTTGGTCAAGCATCAGACTTGGGTTCTCCTGACACAGAGCCTGCATTGGATCTGTCACCCTTTCTCTCTGCCCCTCCCCCCTCTCTGCTCCTCCCCTGCTGGTGCTCTCTCACTCCCTCTGTCTCTCAAAAAATAAATAAAAATAAATAAACATTAAAAAAAAGAGTCCTATGCTTAACCGACTAAGCCACCTAGGAACCCCTCAAAATTTTAGAGTGATGAGGAACCAAGAGGGGTTGGGCTTAAGAAAAAAGTAAGGTTTTTTTTTTTTTAAATGAGGGATTCAGGCACACCTGAGTGGCTCAGTCAGTTAGGTGTCTGACTTTGGCTCAGGTCATGATCTCACAGCTCCTGAGTTTGAGCCCCGCATCGGGCTGTGTGCTGACAGCTCGGAACCTGGAGCCTGCTTTGGATTCTGTCTCCCTCTCTCTCTGCTCCTCCCCTGCTTGCACATGCGCTCTCTCTCAGAAATAAATAAACATTAAAAACATTTAGGGGCGCCTGGGTGGCTCAGTCAGTGAAGCGTCCGACTTTGGCTCAGGTCATGATCTCACTGTTCATGGGTTCGAGCCCCGCGTCGGACTCTGTGCTGACAGCTCAGAGCCTGGAGCCTGTTTTGGATTCTGTGTCTCCCTCTCTCTCTGACCCTCCCCTGCTCACACTGTCTCTCTCTCTCTCTCAGAAATAAATAAAAACATTAAAAAACATTTAAATGAGGGATTCAAACATATTTGTAGGTGAGGGACAATGATCTTCTGTCATGAAAGAAATTGTAAAGAAGAGAGAAGGGACAATTGATAGGGCACCAGTATTCCAGAAGAGACAGGTAGGAGGGCAAAGTCAAAGCCTCTATAAGGGCATCTCTTCTTTATTTAACTAGGCAAGAAGATACAGATGCGGTAGCCATTCCTTTTAGGGTGGAACGCAAGGTGGTCTGAAAGAGGCAGAGGCTAGGACTACAGACCGGTGCCTGAGGAGAAGCGCTGTAGGAACTTCACAAGCAGTCTCTTCCCGCGCGGACTGCCAGGTTAGGCTGGAAATTACACATGGGTATCAGTTCTGACTCCCACGACTGCTCTTCCATAAAGCAGCAGTCAGTAGGGGCACCTGGGTGGCTCAGTCAGTTGAGCACTGGACTTCAGCTCAGGTCATGATCTCACGGGTTCATGGGTTCAGGCCCTGCGTCGGGCTCTGTGCTTGCAGCTCAGAGCCTGGAGCCTGTTTCAGATTCTGTGTCTCGATCTCTCTCTGCTCCTCTCCTGCTGATACTGTCTCACTCTGTCTCTCAAAAATAAATAAATGTAAAAAATTTTCTAAAAAAAGCAGCAGCCAGTAAGCAGAAGTAGAGAAAATACCTAAAACTCTTGGCACATCAGTAGGCAGTTGATAAATATTTCTTGAATAAACAAACATAAAGATTAGATTCATTAAAACTGGGGAGTGGTGAGGTACTTGGGACCAAAGAACAAAAGACAAAGGTAATTGCGGGTGTGGCAGAGGTGTGTTGAGTTAGATGGTTGTCCGTGGAACCTAAGGAGCACAGGAGGGACGCAAAGCCACAGGGGACAAAGCGAAGGGTCTGTGAGACCAGAGCTGGAGTTGGCCCAAACTTAACGATACAAAATTGAATAGTGAATGACACTTTTCTAAGTTTTTAGAAGATCCGTAGGTTCTGAAAGGGCAGAAGCAGATGCTTAGAGAAGCTGACCCAGATGACTGATGCCCAGGGAAGGGACAGTAAACTTGGTTTACAACTTGATTTCAAGTTCTCTCCTTTTGGCCTGGGACATGGAACTCAGACTTCTCTTCTGTGAAGTGTGACAACGGGGCCCGAAGCTGCAGGTCCATTAGAATGAGGTCCTCCTTGCTGTCGGGCGAAAAGGCAGTGCGAGCACTATCTAGAATCCCAGTCATAATCAATTACTAACAGAGGTCTGTAGTACATTCCACCAGGCACTGAGCTTCGAGCTGTCCTGTTCGACGTTTGTACAAATGGTTTAGTTAACAACATTGTTGACAGGTGCCTGGCCGGCTCAGTCGATAGTGCATCTGACTCTTGATCTTGGGGTTGTGAGTGTGAACCCCATGTTGGGTGTAGAGGTTACTTTAAAAATTAATTTAAAAAAAAGGAACATTGATGACAGGTGATCTCATGTTGGAGACAGAAAGAATATGGGAGGGACAATGAATATATTGTTGGGAGAGCAGAATCAGAATGCAAGGAGATCTTGTAGGCTAGACCAAATCTAACAAGATTTAGGGTTTTTATTTTTATTTTTTTCATTTTATATAGAGAAGGAGAGAACAGGGGAGAGGGGCAGAGGAGGAGAGAGAAAATCCCAAGCAGGCTCCACACTCAACAGGGCTTGATCCTACGACCCTGGGATCATGACCTGAGATGAAATCAGGAGGCAGATGCTCAACCTACTGAGCCACCCAGGTGCTCCACAAGACTTAGTTTAAATGGATTAAATGTAAAGTGTAGCACAAAGGGGGTGTGTGTGTGTGTGTGTGTGTGTGTGTGTACGTACATATGTACATTACGTAGGAGATATAGAATAATATGTTCTGAAAATTAGGAGACTGAACAGAAATACAGGCAAAGTAGGCAATTAAAATAGAGGACATGGGGCGCCTGGGTGGCTCAGTCGGTTAAGCATCTGACTTTAGCTCAGGTCATGATCTCATGGCTTGTGGGTTCGAGCCCTCCATAGGGTTCTCTGCTGTCAGTGGAGAGATCCCTTCAGACCCTCTGTCTCCCTCTCTCTCAAAAATAAATAAACATTAAAAGAGAGAGAGAGAGGACATAAGGGCACCCAGCTGGCTTAGTCGGTAGAACATACGACTCTTGGGGCGCCTGGGTGGCTTAGTCGGTTAAGCGTCCGACTTTCCCTTAGGTCATGATCTCGCGGTTCGTGGGTTCGAGCCCCAAGTCGGGCTCTGTGATGACTGACAGCTCAGAGCCTGGAGCCTGTTTCAGAGTCTGTGTCTCCCTCTCTCTCTGATCCTCCCCTGCTCACGCTGTCTCTCTCTCTCCTAGAAATAAATAAAAAACATTAAAAAAATTGAAAAAAAAAAAAAAGAACATACGACTCTGAAGCTTGGGGCTGTGAGTTCCAAGTCCCACAATGGATGTAGAGATTACTTAAAAGATTAAATCTTAAAAAAATAAAAGAGGCCATACAAAAGGCATATACATACACACATACACACTTATACCTATATATACATGTGTATATGTGTGTATATTATAGGAGATAACTCACTCATCTTTCTTATTGGCAAATTTTAAGGCTGCTAACACCAAGTGTTAGCAAAATATGGGTAAGTGGCCTAGTATTCTCATAAGTTTGGTGGGAGTATAGATCAGTTTAGGGCAATTTTTAAGTATATAATAAAATTTTAGAAGTATACATTCTGTGACCCAGCAATTGGATCTCTTAATATTCACCCCCCAAATACTCCTGTATAACATTAGTAGACATAAAGAATTTTTTAAAAAATTTTTAATATTTTATTTCTGAGAGGGGGGAGGGGGAGGGAGAGAGAGAGAGAGAGAGAGAGGGAGGGAGAGGGAGACAACTTGAGCAGGGGAGGGTCAGAGAAAGAGGGAGATACAGAATCTGAAGCAGGCTCCAGGGTCTGAGCTAGCCGTCAGCACAGAGCTCGACATGGGGCTCGAACCCATGAACTGTGAGATCCTGACATGAGCTGAAGTCGTCGGATGCTTAACTGACTGAGCCATCCAGGCACCCCAGACATAAAGAATTTTCCATGAAACATTGTAATAACAAAAAAATTGAAACAATTTGTGTATAGCAACAGAATGGTTAAAATGATACATCCATTCTATGTAGGATACTATAAAGCAGTTATAAAAAGGGAGATTGCTTTATATGTACTGATGTGAAAAGTTCTCTGAAATGTGTTGCAGTGAAAAAAGATTTAGAATTATACAAACCATTTGGTACAAGTTATGTGTTTGTTTTTGAAACTATGTATTTTGAGACAGAGCCCGTGTATGCAGGGGAGGAGCAGAGGTGCGCCGCCAGCACAGAGCTCGTCTTGGGGCTGGAACCCACAAACCGTGAAATCATGACCTGAAACCAAGACTCAGATCCTGAACTGACTGGGCCACCCAAGTGCCCCGGATACACTGATGTTATATTTTTATTTAAAAATTTTTTTTAAATGTTTTGTTTCTTTCTGAGAGAGAGAGAGAGAGAGAGAGAGAGAGAGAGAGAGAGAGAGAGACAGCTTGAGCAGGGGAGGGTCAGAGAGAGGGAGACACAGAATCTGAAACAGGCTCCAGGCTCTCAGCTGTCAGCACAGAGCCCAACGCAGGGCTCGAACCCACAAACCATGAGATCATGACCTGAGCCAAAGTTGGACGCTTAACCGACTGAGCCACCCAGGCGCCCCATACACTGATGTTTTAAAAATCCCTTACAACTACTTATTTCCACATGTAAATATATATCCCTGTAAATAAATAGGAAAAAGTCTGGAAGGATACATAACCAAAATCAAACAGAATGTATCTCTCAAAGCAAAGGACCAGGATTTGGGATAATGGTCAAAGAAAACTTGGGATTTGTCTATAGTTTGTTTGTTTATTTTAGTAATCTCTATACTCATCATGGGGCTTGAACTCACAACCCTGAGATCAAGAGTCACACACTCTTCTGACTGAGCCAGCCAGGCGCCCCTGTACATTTTTGTTTGCTTATTTTTGAAAGAGAGAGGCACAAGCAGGGGAGGGGCATAGCGAGAGGGGCACAGAGGATCTGAAGAGCTAGGCTCTGTGCTGACAACAGTGAGCTCCGCAAAAGCAGTGAGCCCGACGTGGGGCTCGAACTCATAAGACTGGGAGATCATGACCTGAGTCGAAGTTGGACGCTCAACTGACTGAGTCACCCAGGCGGCCCTTTAATTTTTTTTAATGAAGATTTTGATCCCTATTTACATGCTTTCTAAAGTAAATGAATTCATATGTTAACATTAAGTCCTAACAAATTAAAACAACCTTTCCCCACTCCACAATCACACCTGTAGGTTTTATTTAGTTTTAATGAGTCAATAGTGTGACAGGGTAGGCAGTGAAGAAAAATCTAAGGACACCGAAGGCTCTTACAGTCCAATGTCACAACCAAGCAAGTGACGGTTTAGTTCTCCTTGGCTCAGGCCACATCTGCACCAAAGTTAGACAGGCACATTGACACATTTGAGCTCTTCCAGAAAGCAGCCAGCGTCATGCCAGGAGTCCACATCAAATCCAGGAGAAATAATGAGCAAGGAAGGATGTTTAGACTAGTGAAGTGCAGTGTAGAGAGAAGTGGTCCTCAAATACGTGAATAGTTTTAATGAGGGTGAAGATGATAGTAAATTTCGAGACACTGGGAATTATTCAAGACAGACTGATCACTTGTCATGGATGCTGTTGAAGAGATTAATTCAAGAGGAATTAGTTGGAACTAGATGATATTCAAGGTTCCAACTAACTTTAAGATCTATTTTAGGGGCACCTGGGTGGGTCAGTTGAGTGTCTGACTTTAGCTCAGGTCATGATCTCGTGGTTGGTGGGCTCAGCCTGACTCAGATCTTCTGTCCCCCTCTTGCAAATAAACATTAAAAAAACCCCACAACACTCTACTTATTTATTTATGAGAGAAAGAGAGAGAATGAATATGAGGGGGGAGGAACAGAGAAAGAGGGAGAGAGAGAATCCCAAGCAGGCTCCACATTGTCAGTCCAGAGCCCATCGTGGGGCTCGATCTCATGAACCAGGAAATCATCACCTGAGCTGAAAACAAGAGTTGGATGCTCAACTGCCTGAGTCACCCAAGTGCCCCCAAAGAGTCTATTTTAAATTCCCTTGGTCTCAGCCAGATTTGCCAAACCTCAAATCCCTAATACTCCTTTCTTTCACGTTGTCTTGTCAAGGTGAGGATGTTAACTTTTCAAAGGTACTTTGGCACACTACAACCTGGAAAGTGTAGTCTCAATTCCATGAGTGCCAATTAAATGCCTCAAAGAATACAAAGATGATTATAACTGGAATCCTGAACAAGTACCAGCTGGATGGATGTAATAAAAATCAAAAATTAAATTTTGTCTCCCCCTACAAAATTTTAGTGGGAGAGCCTTTCCTCTGACATGGATGAAAATTCCATCATTCCCCTATCATTTCATCTCTTGCAATCACTTAAAGCAAAAGATATGCAATTCATATATATGTTAATGAACACACCTGTCTTCACCCTAGGGGAGAATATCTCCGCCCCCTGGCTGTGGGTCAGCGCGGCCTGACAGCCTGCCTCTGTGGATGAAGGGTGGTTGGCTTCTCTCCTTTTGCTATATGGCCTTCTTTGCTTCCTGGATGCGGAGCCTGACGCCTCCAGGCCGGAGCAGAGGCCATGCGTTCGAGGCCCGGCTGGTACTGAAGGCTGGTGGTCTCGTGGGCACTTATACGGATGCACCAGAGGCTTCCCAGGGGGCCCTTTCCAATAGCAACGTCAGCCGCCCTGGCGCTGAAAGGACATCCAGATGACGCACTGTGTGTCTGTGGCCACCACTTCCCCTCTCCTCGTCCTGTTTTCCAGAGGCCCCTTCTATACAGAACGCTTTGTGCAGAATCCCACTGTGCTTCCACAGAGTTCTTTTTTTTTTTTTTTTAAAAGAAAGTCTAAGCTTTTAATTTTTTAGTATTTATTTGAGAGAGAACACGAGTGGGGATGGGGCAGAGGGAGAGCGTTCCAAGCAGGCTCCATACTGTCCCACTGAGCCTCACGTGGGGCTCAATCTTATGACCCTGGGGCAATGACCTGAGCTGAAATTAAGAGTTGGATGTTCAACTGACTGAGCCAGCCAGGCACCCCCACAAATTTTCTTGAGTAGGATTTAAACCAGCTCTGTATGTGGTCCATGTGATTAATGTATATTTGACCTTTTGTCAGAAGACAGTGCAGTTAATTCCGAAATGTAGCTGTTTCCTTGGTTACCTCAGGCTTTGTTATTAGCTAACCTTTGCCTTGAATTTCCTGTGAGTCATACAGTCCAATGACCAGCCTCTACCCAGAGACTGATATCAAATGCTTCAGTGGGCCCTTGAGGCCTGTCTTTCTGGGCCTGAGGAGGAGAGAGAAGTGTCCCCCACTGCTTCTCCTCAGGATCTGGTATGGCTCACAGCACAGCAGTAGTTGTCTCCAAAGAAATTTCCTTGTATCCACTTTTTTAATGTTTATTTTTGAGAGAGAGAGGCAGAGCATGGTTGGGGGAGGGGGAGAGAGGGAAGGAGATACAGAATCCAAAGCAGGCTCCAGGCTCTGAGCGGTCAGCAGAGAGCCTGACGTGGGGCTCGAACTTGTGAACTGTGAGATCCTGACCTGAGCTGAAGTTGGCTGTTTAACTGACTGAGCCACCCAGGTGTCCCCATTAATCCTGCTTTATAACCTTCCCTGTTTCCTACCTGAGGATTTGTGATTCAGTCATACTTCACAGGCCAACTCATAGGGTAGTCAGCAAAGTTGTTCTGACATAGTCATGGTCTGGGCATGATCCACTTTAGTAATTGAGAAGAAGAAAAAAAAAAAAAGCCAAGCTAAGGCTACACAATGATTCCACCTTCCTGTGAGCAAAGGCACGACTCCCTCCTGGCTCGAAACCTAGTTCTCCAGGAGGAGGAATGTAGAGCACTGTAGTACAGTGGAGCTTCCATGGATTTTAGAGTCTGTCAATTACCAAGTGGCCTTATATAAATTACCCTTTTTTAAAAATGTTTTATTTCTGAGAGAGAGAGACAGCCTGAGCAGGGGAGGGTCAGAGAGAGAGGGAGATACAGAATCCTAAGCAGGCTCCAAGCTCTGAGCTAGCTGTCAGCACAGAGCCCAACGCGGGGCTTGAACCCACGAACTGTGAGATCATGACCTGAGCCGAAATCAGACGCTTAACCGACTGAGCCCCCCAGGCGCCCCATAAATTACCCTTTCTGAGCTTCATTAAAGGTTTGTAAAATATAATCTTTTAATTCAAAACTTAATTTTTTAAAAAGTTTATTTATTTTGAGAGAGAGAGTGCACAGGCGGAAGAGGGACAGATAGAGAGAGAGAACCCCAGGCAGGCTCTGCCCTGTAATCTTGGAGCCAGATGCAGGGCTTGAACTCACAAACAGTGAGATCATGACCTGAGCTGAAATCAAGAGTTGATACTTAACCAACTGAGCCACCCAGGCGCCCCTAAAATTTAATTTTGAATTACACAATATATAAATATTCTTCTTGGAAAAAACAAAACATGACAGATGAGACTAAATTTCCCTGATCACCACCTTCAAGCCCACTCCCCTTATCCCTTCCCTAACCACCTCCCCAAAGTGACTATAATTCGGTTTAGTATTTATCTCTCCAGGCCTTTTTCAATCGAAACAGGACAGTAATATGTATCCTCTGAGGCAAAACAGAGGTGAATATACGAGGGCATAATGTTTTCTTCTGTTTCCTCAGTGGGTTGGGAGGAGCTGAGAACTCTTGCTGGAACACAGCTCTGCACTAAATTCAAGCTGAAGACGAGCAATCTTGCCCATTTCCTGGGAGGGGAGTGGGGGACTACTTGCCTTCTGTCTCAGAAAATACCAATTTTTTGTCTGTCCCCCACCGCCCCCAAATGTCAGCAGACATCATGCATAGAGTCTACAGCAGGGACAGACCTCAGCCTGCCACAGACACAGCCAGCCTCCTCCTGGATGGGGGTCTGTGGGAGGGGAGCAGCCTGAGCCAAAGACCCAGAGAGCATTCTGCCTCCTTTCTCTTCCATCTCAGCCAGGCAAGAGTGAGTCTGTGTCTTGTGTCTTCTCTTCCCTGTGTCCTTCATTTCAGATTGCAGAAAGGAACAGATCATATGCCCAGATATCTGCCTCCTCCCCCCAAACAGCTTTCCGGCTGAACACAACAAACACAAGAAACCAAAGCAACCCTCCTCCCTCCCACAGTTCTGCCCTCCCATCGCCGCACAGGATGAGGGGCACTCCCACGGTCGTTTTTACCTACCGTCAGAGGAAGCACAGGCCAAGATTTCCACAGGCATCAGTGGCGGCCTCCCAGGTGTCCCAGAGTGGGATTTTATTTTGGCAGAACAAATTCTGTTTATTGAGCATCTACTTTGCCAGCCCTGATCCACATTTCTTCACATATACCTAATTAATTGTAACAAAAGCCATACAAGGCTTGTATGATAATTATCTTCATATTACAGGCGAAGGGACAGATGCTCAGAAAGGTTAAGTACTTCTGTTCTTAAACTGTGACTTCCTGAGGCAAAGGAGACACTGAAGAGCAGTACCTGTCAGTGGGAAGTGGTATCTAAAAGCAGGAACGAGCAGCATGGAAAGGTGTGGAGAGGGCGCCTGGCTGGCTCAGGCGGAAGAGCATGCAGGTCTTAATCTTGGGGTTGTGAGCTCAAGATCCACGTTGGGCATAGAGATTAAATAAATAAAGCTTAAAAAAAAACGTGTGGAGAATAGAAGAGGCAGGGTAAGAGCAAATGACCAAAAAATGCATGTCCCAGCAAGACCTGCCATTCGTCCATACCGCTTGGACTCAGGCTGGGCCCTGGCCTAGGGTGCGTGTAAACACATCTCTATAGCAACCATGTGCCTTCCGTCTGCCTGTGACAATGCAGGCTCACAAGTGTCTAAATATGCACACTGGTGAGGATAAGTGTGGCTGGGTGAGGGGCGGGGCGGGAGGAGACAGGCTGCTGAGTCAAAGGAAAATTGTGCACAAAAGGCAGATTCCTTTGGTGTGCCCTGGTCTACCCCTCCCAGCCCACCCCTGAGATAGCAAAGGGGCTTGAGGCCCCGGTCCCTCTTTGGTTCACAGCGGTCACAGTTAAGAGCTAAGCCCCGCATAAATTTTGTCTTATTTTAACCAAGTATGTAAATTCCTGTGCAGTCAGGGGGGATCCCCTTGGTTCAGAAGGGGGAGGGTAGAAACTTTTGCTTCCTATTTCACCCCAGGTGCCACTTTCGGGGCCACGGAGGTAGAGGTTGGAGGATCCCATGCCCAAGGCATGGCAGCCCCAGAGGGAAACGGGGAGAGGAGCCAGGCGCAGGGTACAGGAGTTAGTCATGGCTGAGAGGGTTACATGCAGCCGGGACCGAGTTCCAGGAGCCCCTGCTTAAGTCAGCACAGTGGTTCTCAACCAGGGGAACCCCGACAGCATCTGGCAATGTCTCGGGACTTTGGGGAGAGGCTGCCGCTCACATCTGTAAAGTCCGCAGGACAACGTGGCTGGTCCCATGTTAGTCTTCTCCTTGACCCGCGGCAGGGCGCCATCACACGTCACCTGGAGGGGACCCCGGGGACACCGGCTTGTGCACCTGGGCCCTGAGCTCCTCTCGAGCTTCCCACCCAAGCATTTAGTTTGTTTATTTTTTCTTTATGTTTACTTATTTTGAGAGAGCGTGCACACACACGTGCACGAGCGGGGGAGGGGCAGAGAGAGAGAGAGAGAGACACCATCCCCAGCAGGCTCTGCGGTGTCAACACACAGCCCGATGTAGGGCTTGATCCCATGAACCATGAGCTCATGACCTGAACTGCAATCAAGAACAGGACGCTAAACTGAGCCTCCCAGGCACACCTCGTTTGTTTCCTTTTAATAAAAATAAACACAAGCCAGAGCCCCACATTTGCTGTGAACCCGGCTTCTGTAGATGGTGGCCTTGGGTGCCGGCAAAGCTGCCTTTTTTTTTTTTTTTTAAAATGTTTGTTTATTTCTAGGAGACAGAGAGAGAGACAGCGTGAGAAGGGGAGGGTCAGAGAGAGAGGGAGTCACAGACTGAAACAGGCTCCAGGCTCTGAGCTGGCAGTCAGCACAGAGCCCGACGCGGGGCTTGAACCCACGAACCGTGAGATCATGACCTAAGCGAAAGTCGGACGCTTAACCAACTAAGCCACCCAGGCACCCCCAAAGCTGCCTTTAAAGGCGGTGCAGGCAAAAGGCACAATCTCTTGGCCCCTGTTTTACCATCTGTGAAGTGAGTACACTGAATGCATGATCTCCAATATCCCTTTAGTTCAAAAACTGTGATTCCGAGTATTTTTCATATGCAGACCTAGTTTTGGTCACTGGACGAGAAAATGACTCAGAATTGCAAATAGGGAAATCTGAAGGAGACTCAGACGTTCCTAAGCATAAAAGGCGTCTCAGACACGGACCTTACTGGTGGGCCAGGACTCATGGTCACTGACTGATGCCAGGCCTTCTCTCTGTGCCTCTGACTGGGTAGTCTCCTCATGGGGTAATTTTAGCAACAGTAAGTTGCTTCTGCCACCCACTCACTCCTGCCCCCTGCCAACAGGTCTGCTAATACCTGAGATGTTTCTTTCTCGTTAAAATATAAATATTCTAGGGGCACCTGGGTGGTTCAGGAGGTTCAGCATCTACTCTTGGTTTTGGCTCAGGTCATGATCTCACAGATTTGTGAGTTCGAGCGCCACATCTGACTCTGCACTGGCAGCACAGAGCCTGCTTGGGACTCTCTCTTTCTCCCTCTGCCCCTCCCCGACTCACGCTCTCACTCTCTCTCAAAAATAAACATTAAAAAAAAAAAAAAAAAAAAAAGAATGCTTGTTCATGAGTTTGTAGTCCTAGAGGTTAATATGAATAATTTGAGAGAAGTTCATATACTGTATAAACTCTATTCAGTTTGAGCTTTTCAACTACATATTTTAGTTATAAATTCATATTATGTTTTAATCTCTAGTATCTACCTATGATAAGTGTGTCAAAACAAGGTTCAAAAAACTCCATCTAAATACACTAAGTGCCTCTGCCACCAAAGCTCCATTTATATCAAAACTTTTCTTTGAACTGAAGGGGCCATTTCACCACAGTGTGGTTATCAGCGTTGAGTGTTCTTCCTGTTATAAGACATTTTAATGTCTCACAGAAAAGCTATCCTTCATTGACAGAGTATTTGGCTCTTTCTTGTCCTTAGTCATGTGGCTTATCTCGAATTTTTCCCAGAGAGACGTCCAGCTTTGTCTGGGGAGTAGCCTTCCAAAGCTGTTCTCTCACCAGAGGGGTCAGCTTTCTGCTTACTGCTGTGGCTGCTGTGCAGCGTCATGCAGGAGGTCAAACTCTTTAATTTTTTCTGAATGTGTATAGAGTAACAATGAACAATTCTCCAACAAGTATTTATTGAACACCTGTTATGTACCATTCTTTCAAAAAAATTTTTTTTAAATGTTTATTCATTTTTGAGAGATGGAGAGGGACACCGTGAGTAGGGGAGGGGCAGAGAGACAGGGAGACACAGAATCCAAAGCAGGCTCCAGGCTCTGAGCTGTCAGCACAGAGCCTGACACGGGGCTCGAACTCATGAATTGTGAGTTCATGACTTGAGCCAAAGTCGACACTTAACCAACTGAGCCACCCCCCACCCCCAGGACCCCTGGTATGTACCACTGTTGATGGTGAGGATATAGCAATAAATAAGACAAAGCCCTCGGGGTTCACTAAATACTTGTGAAAGAAGTGAATGAAGGCCCCTCTTCCGGTTGTTTGCTTTCGTCTAGCCTACTTATTCCTTTTTGTAACCCGGTTCAAACTACTGCTCCAATCTCTTTTCTCCTAGGATGCCTTGTGGGAGGGGGAATGCTTACCCAACCACCGGGGACCCTGAGAGGCAGGCCTGAGGAGACTGTGCTCCACTACCCTCTGGGGACTTCAGTCAAGATTGATACCAAACGACTTTTAAACCAAAGTTGAGAACCTCAAGGCGAATTCATTGCACAGGCTCTATAACCTTTGGCTTCTGCCCCAAATGCAGAACTCCCCCCTCTCTCTTATCCCTTCATCTCCGCTCCCTCACTTCTCTCACATCTCACGCAGAAACTCTGAAGAGGAATTTCCCTCAACTCACTCATTCAAATTACACCTACGTTTCCCCTCAGACTCCACTTTGTTTGCAGCCCTGGAGGGTTTCCCCCACCTCCGATATCGGAAAGTGGGGAAACTGAGATACTCGTAGCTCCTTAATGTCATTTTCAGGCCACTGTTCTTCCAGGACACTGACGTGCCATTCCTCCTGCTTTGGAGTTCACGCCATCAGGCGAAACTCTCCTTCATGTTCTTTGCTAGTCCTGGTCACTTCTAGGCTTCATCTCCTCCCCAGTCCTGCAGAACTCTGGGTTGATTCCTACACCTTGATTTACTGACCCAACATGCCAAGCCCATAGTTCTCTGTTGTTGTTGTTGTTTTCTAAGCTAACTGCTTTAATCTTCCTTTTATAAGACAGTTGGGTTTAACAAGAGATAACAACAAAACCACAAATACACAAGCTACCTACCTTTGCAGCTGATGTAGGAACTCCTCTGTTCTTTGACTCTAATGACCTTCACTTTTACCCTACTTTGAACGCCCATTCCTACTACCCATTTCATTACATGGAAGAGTTCCAACTCTAAAATCTTAACTCTAACATCATTGTGACCACAGGTCCTGAGCTTCTAACCTGGTCACTTCTTTCACTTCTAAATCATCTGCTCTTTAATCTTATCAAGACCTCTCTCTTGACCAGAGTAGATCATACCTTCTTTGGCCTCGTTTTTCACCTCGTCTGAATCGGGTGGACATCTTGAACTGTCTCTCCCCAGCACCTTCCATCCCCTTATTCCCTTTTCAGTCCACTCCATGTGTCTATAGATCATGATCCAGGAGCTACACAATAATGCGTCTTCTCTGCTCTTGTACCCAGGCGGCTGGGCGCTGCTAGAGAAAGTAACAGAAATGTAGATTGGCACCATTCCAGTACATTACACACTCCAAGGGTTACGCATGCATGGTTTCCAATCTGTTAGGCCCTTGACACTTGTTCTTTGACTCTTTTACTTACTATCATTGTCAGTTCTCTTCCATTCCTCTCCCTTTCAATCTCTCTTCCAAACTATAGCCACTCTTGTTAAGCCCCCCAACTCTCATCTCCCCCTCAACTAGCAACCTTACATATCCGCAAAGAACAACAAAGCCATCAGAGAAAGACTCCCATCAATCACCGACCCTCGGTCGCAAATAGCTCTGAGTTTACCCATCATTATATTTTCACCTTGAGCATCAGGCAGGATGCAGTACACATCTCCTGCTTGAGACCAATTTCCTACTTGGCTGGCTTCCCAACAGAGCCAGCCCCAGCACCTCACTTTGCATAGTGGCTGGCACATAAGTGCTTCATAGTACGTTGAAATGTTTAATTGACCATATCCATCTGAACTCATTTACATCCCCTCCTTTTTCTTCAGAACCCTTTTTAGTTATCATCATTCTCTACTGAGCTTTAACTCCTACTGGTTTCTTTCACTCAAGTCAATAAACGTGCCTAAACTGTTCCCATCCTGAAACAAAACCTTCCCATATCACTTGGTTATACAGGCAAGACCCTACCTCTACCAATCTGTTGATACTGGTGGCCCAAGAAGGTTACTAATTGCCAAATCAAATGGATTTGCAATCAACTGCCCTTTAGTCCATTTTTAAAAAAACACCTTGTGATTTTTATTATTGTTTTTAGAATTAAAATTGCCTCCAATTATCAAATATACACCATTTCCAAAATCTGGAAAAGTACAGAAAGCAGACATAACATATACACTGTACACTATAATCCTGACAAATAGTTACCCACTGTTGTGGTACATTTCTTTCTTGAAATTTTTGGGCACTTTTTTTAAGATCTTATTGTTAATCTCTACACCCAACATGGGGCTCGAACTCACAACTGCAAGATCAAGAGTTGCATGCTCCACTGACTGAGCCGGCCAGGGACCCCTTGGGGCACTTTTTTTTACTAAAAAAAAACTTTTTAAAAATACCTTTATTCATTTTTGAGAGACAGAGACAGAGTGCGAGCAGAGGAGGTACAGACAGAGAGACAAAGAATCCGAGGCAGGCTACAGGCTTTGAGCTGTGAGCACAGAGCCTAACGCGGGGCTCAAACCCATGAACCGTGAGAGCATGACCTAAGCCAAAGTCGGACACTTAACCAACTGAGCCACCCAGGTGCCCCAAGGGGTACTTTTTATTACATAGGTGAGATAGTCTAATTTCTTACTTCATCAACCTCCAACAACATTTTACATTATTGACTTGTTCTTCCATTAAACTCTGTCATTGGGGACCACATCTTCCTAATTCTATTTTGTTGGGCCCTTTTCTTTATTCCCTTCGCATGGTAGCTTTCATCAGGGTCAGCCCTCCAGTCATTCTGCTTTATATGCTTTGACTTCCATGGTTTTACTAAGTGTACCATGAAATCCACATAATTCTGGTTTCTTCTTTACCCTCTAGACTCATAAGTCCAGTAACTTACGGGTCATCTATTCTTGAATGTCCTACAAGCACCCCGTATCGTTCTTTCTGCACACAGAATGCCCGACCTTCCTTGTTAAACTTGCTCCTTCAGTGGTAGTTTCTCTCTAGGTTATGGCATCATCCTTTACCCAGTAAGTGAGGCCAGACACCTGGGGATCTTTTATTAGGATCCTGTCTCTTCCCAAGTCCCACACCCCGTATCAAGTTCTGTTGGTCGTGTTTCCTGTGTATCTCTTGAATTTGTCTACTCCTTCACCCCCAATGCCCTTGCGTTTGCTAGTTTCTAATCATATTTAGCCCAAGTACAGTAGCAACACAACGGGCTGTCTTATTCATAACTGGCCCACGGGAACAGTTTACTAAGCGGAGTGTACTACAGAATTCCCCACTCGCTCAATGTTTCATCGCTACTTCAAGTTCATGCCACATATCGAATCATCATCTTTTCTTTACAACTGCCACCATATCCCTTAAGCTTCCACCCTGTTGACAGCACCTCTAAATACATCAATTTTACCCTCTCCAACCTCTTGCCTACACTATAGTCAGAAAGACTATTCTAAAGAGCCAATCTGACTCCTGGCATTCTTTTGCTAAGTCTTTATAGACAGTGCTTCTCACTGCCTCCAGCATGAAGTCCAAAGGGCCCTCCATGCTTGGACTCCTGCTTCCCACCAGCTGTTTCTAGCCTCGCCTGCTGCATGGCATGCTACCACCACTCTCAATTATTTTAAGTTTCCAGAATGTAATGAATTACATCTGCATCTGGCCATGTGCTGTGCTTCCATTTGGGAGACCTCCCCCTTTCCCGACAGAACCCCTCACTGGACAGTCTTACTGTATCAGATTTCAGCTCACAAACTGCTTGCTGTGAAGGGATTTTTCTGTTCTTCTACCTCCACAAATTAGGTGGGTGCTTCCAGAACATTTTGTGCTTGTCCTTTCTTGTATTCTAATGGTCTTGTCTTCCCGTCTTTATTCTTTTTAGAAAAAAATTTTTTTAATGTTTTATTTATTTCTGAGAGAGAGACAGCATGAGCAGAGGAGGGTCAGAGAGAGAGGGAGACATAGAATCTGAAAACAGGCTCCAGGCTCTGAGCTAGTTGTCAGCACAGAGCCCGACACGTGGCTCGAACCCACGAACTGTGCGATCATGACCAGAGCCAAAGTCAGACGCTCGACCGACTGAGCCACCCAGGCGCCCCTCCGCATCTTTATTCTGTCCCTCTGTGGTCTGTAAGCTCCTTGAGGGCTCCTTACGTGCCGCTGGAATCCCTGAAGAAAGGGCTTACACACCTTACCTTGTGTAACCAGCACAGCCACCCTTTATGATAGGGGCCACATCATTCCCATTTTACACACAAGTAAACGAAAGCAAAGAGAGCTTAAGAAACTGGTCTGAGTTAGCAAAATATATCAAAACCAGACAGGGGGACGCTAGATGCAGTCCATCACTAAGTCCTTCACTCTCAAATTCCTTCTCCACACGATCTGGCAGGAACCTACCTAAAATACAGACTCCTCTTTGCTGTCTCCTCAGAGGCCCTGGGCGTGCCTGCCTGTCCCGTCCTGTCACGTGGCCCGTCGCCTTGTTGGCCTGGTACCAGCCACTCCCTGGGACTCGGTGCTGTAGTTGCGGAAGTACCGCCGACTCCACACGGTCTCCTCTTTCTCTAGGTGTTGGTGTGTCTACCAAAATGCCCCTTGTCACCCTACCTTTCTGGGGAAGTCCCGTTCCTCCTTCAGAACGTACTCACTCCGTGTGTGTCCCCGACCACCCCTTCCCCATCCCTTTGCAGAGCCGTTCGCAGGAGCCATGACTCGGGCAAGTTACTGCTTTAGTTCCCTCCCTTGGCCAAGGGCAGCAGGAAGACCTTTCCTCAGAGCGGCTGCTGAGGATGTGTTAAGTGCTCAGCATGGGGCTTGACACATGGTAAGATCTCACAACATTTAGCAACTATTATTTACTCATCCCCATTCCTCTATGTAGCTAGGCCTGTACTGCCCAGGTTTAAGGCCCTAGCAGGATTTCTTTGCGTGGAAAAAGCAAGCACCCACATATCACTTGTGTTAGCACAGCACCTGGCATACTCCTGGCTTTTATTAAGCAATCAGACTGGACAATTTCCATCTCCACCGCCAGTATTTACCGAAGGACTCCAGCCCTTTGGATGTTCCCTTCTGGGAATTCTCTCACCCAGTGAGCATATGCTGTCCTTGCATTATATGCGGAAGTGTTGTCTCAGCGAGGCTTCAAGTCCCCTCATGGCAACACCACCTCTGACGTTGTCTATCTGCCCAACAGCTAATGTTTCTAATTGCAAAGGGAGTATTCAGCAGTTACCTGGGAGAGGAAATATTCTTGCCCAAGCCCAGGAGGCCTCACCTTATCATTAGGAAGCCCCCCATCTTTAAGAAAATTTAGTGAACCCCTCTCCCAATTCTCCTTCCCTTAGAAGGAGGGAAGTTCTACCTAGAACTACACGAGCTTGCATTCACTTGTATGCTTCTGTCAAGTCCTCGTTCTCGTCTTTCCTTGTTAACACCCCCTCCAGGCCCAGTAGGGGGCACTGTACGCCCGAGGGTGGCCCGTGCGAGTACTGCTTGCTGACTGCAGACCCTCTCAATGGGGACGCTCCAAGTTACTTTTCTTCGGCCTGCGTGTTCCATGCCTGGGCCACATCGGCTCAAAATAAACACTGCTGGACGATAATAACGGTGACTTCACCCCTGCCACCCCGTAGATCGGCGAGCTGAGGGGCCGTCAGTACAGCCATCACTTGGCTGTGCCGGAGGGGTGCAAGAGCCCTCAGCGCCGCTCTGGAGAATGGGGTGTTTGCCGCCCTGCGGAGCCATCTGTCCTGGCTGCCTGGCCTGGGAGTAGGGGTGAGGATGGCGGGCTTTACCCTAAAACAGAGACAGCCCGGGTCCTTTCTCGGCCCCCCCTGGATTCCTCAAGGCTACAGCTTAGAACTAAGGACCAGGGAAGCCAGGGATAATGGAAAAGTCCTGTAAAAGCCTAGATACGATCTCAGTCTCTTCAGCAAACTAACTTTGCCACCTTCTAAACAACTTATTTCTACATTTCAGCTTCTTATCTGCATTAAAACACAACTGCGCCAAATGATCCCACATGCAGCCTCATGAGCTCACCCCCCAGCTGCGCACACCCGGCAGACATACGCTCAAAAAGAGGTCCTGGGATTGGATGAAGGGGGTATAAGCAGAAGACTAACCCCGGTAAACAGGGAACATCCTGGGTGTGCAGAGCTCCTAGCTTTGAGTTTCTAAGGCTGAAGCACGTGAATGCTTGCAGATGTTTTATTTCACGAAGACCATAAACCCCACAACGGGAGGGAATGTCTTTAATGCACCTCCACCAGCCGGCCACTCAGCATCTAGCACGCTGCTCAGAAAGCCTGCTGGCCAAGAGGCGCCATATCCCCCGGCTCAAGCAGAAGAGAGCAAGTAAGGAACATCCCGAGGAACTGAAAACGTACTTGGGAAACTTCTGATTAAGGAGAAAGAATGGGGGCGCCTGGGTGGCTCAGTTAGTTAAGGGTCCGACTTGGACTCAGGCCATGATCTCGCGGCTTGTGGGTTCGAGCCACGCGTTGGGCTCTGTGCTGATGCCAGCTCAGAGCCTGAAGTCTGTTTCAGAGCCTGTCTCCTTCTCTCACTGACCCTCCCCTCCTCATGCTGTCTCTCTCGCTCTCAGAAATAAATAAAACATAAAAAAAAAAATTTAGAGGAAGTCAGATGCTGAGAACATGCCTAGTCCAGTTTAAAATGCGCCTCGTGAAGATGGAGAGTTCCGTGAAGAATCTAGGTCTCCTGGACCTTGTTTATCTTATGCTCACTTGAGAAGCCAGTCACGTTCGAGAGAATATCACTGCAAACGCTCCCACTCAAAGTTGGGCAAAACGCGCATGCAGATCTAATCTACCACATGTGAATGTTGCCGTGTGTCGGGGAGAGGCAGGTGTGAGTTGGTTTCCCCTTTGACAATGTTTCTTTTCTATGTTATGTTCAGAAGCAGTTCTTAACTTCTGGCAGCGGCAGGATTCCAGTGATGCTTGTTGACAATGGTGAGGAAAGAAGTCACTCTGCCTCCTGCTGGCCACAAACAGAAAGGGTGCGATCCTTTGGCCCAGGACCAAAGGTCACATTTCTCCCTCACAGACATGACACCTTGTGAAGGAATGGAAGACTAAATAAAAGGGAAAAGGAAGAGGGGGCTTCCTTTTGAGCTCAGCCTATATAATAAGTGTTAGGTGTTAATAAACTACTTAGATCAAGGGGCGCCTGGGTGGCTTAGTTGGTTGAGCGTCCGACTTTCGCTTAGGTCATGATCTCGCGGTTCGTGGGTTCGGGCCCCACGTCGGGCTCTGTGCTGACTGCCAGCTCAGAGCCTGGAGCCTGTTTCAGAGTCTGTGACTCCCTCTCTCTCTGACCCTCCCCTGCTCATGTTGTCTCTCCTAGAAATAAAAACAAACAAACAAACAAAAAAACCCCAAAAAACTACTTAGATCAAATTCCTTATTTTTGAGCCCAAACCTGAGGTTGAAGCATCTTCTACATGAGCTACAGAAACAAAGGGATGGACAGGAGTCTGGAAAAGCACTGATCTGTACGCCAACATCCCTGTTCCCTCTCCTTGAGTGATGGAAGCGGGGAGCCCAGTCACAACCTGTATTAAGGACTCATCTCTTAGAACTCAGGGCCCCACACCATTCTCCTCTGAATGCTATCTTCAGTTTCATTTTCTTCCCTTTCCCCAAAGCCCAATAAAACACACCAACTGCTTCAGAATATTTCTGGGTTGTGTTTTTTTTGTGGGTCATCTTCTTTTTTTTTTTTTATTTCAAATATTCAAAAAGTCCCCTGGGCTCTGTGGGGCTCCCCACGCTCATGGCCCCTTTCCCCACACTCACTGCCCTTTTCCCCACAGAAAATCTATTTCGAGGACAGCACTTTTTAAAATGAACAATTAACATTAATTGTGTTCTCAGCTTGCTCTGCAGGACCAGAGGAGCCATTTGTATCTGTCATATTTAGATGGACAGTTTCTTGTATCTGACACCAGGTCCCCAGCCACATCCAAGCAAACAAGGCATTTTTCTACAGAGCTGGATTGGAACTACTCCACTCCTCCCCTCACACCCATCCCACACCAGCCACGTGGTTGATAGTCAGGAATGTTTTTTATCAACTCCAAGCCCTATTTCATATCCCCCACAAATGTCCCACCCCACCCTCTCAAACACCACCCCCCCACCCCCACCCTGCCCGCCAGGATTTCACTGAGATTTCTCCCAACAATTATTTGGAAAAAAGGTAAAACAAAAAAGGTTCGGGGTCTTGGTGCTCAGCCCAAGGGGCTCCATGCGCTGGGACACCGACGGGCAGGGGCTTCTGCCTCTCCAGCCCGCACCCGAGCCACCTCCTGACCCCTGGCTGCAAAAGCAGGGAGGGGCAGGAGCCAGCACAGGACCCAGGAGGGCAGCGTCTCAGGATCTGGCGGAGCCCCGGGCAGCATCATTCAACTTGGCCGCTGCGGACGAACACAGAAGAAGAAAAAGAAAACACTGTCAAGTAATAAGGGAAAGATCCCGAAGTTCCATCCCAGTCCCTACCCCGTGACTCTTCCACACTTAAGTCATTAGGCTACCTGGCACATGCCTGACTCTGATCCACAGAGACCGGGGAACGGGGGGGGGGGGGGGAGAGGCACAGGAGAGGAAAGGAGAACAGAGTAAAACGGGGGGGGCAGGAAGGGGATGGGGGAGAAGGGGGGAGAGGAGGGCAGAAAGAGGGAGCAGGGGTGGGAGGGAGAGAGTTTCACTTTTTTTTCTATCCACAAAGTGTTCCTTGTCATTTTGGAGATACCCACGGCAACAGTACCGAATACTCTTCAGACAAGATCACAAGAGCTGGGGGCTGGCAGGGGCGTGGGCTGCCCGGCCCAGAGCCGGCCTGGTCTCACAGGCATGGCCACAGCCACCTGAAGCAGTGACTGACGGGGGTGCACAGCGAGGAGGCGGTGACGGCACGTCAGCCAGGGCCAGACAACACACATGTTGTTCTGAGTGGATTTAATAATCCAGGTTTAATCAAAGCAATTTGGATCTGGACCCAGGAAGGACCCTTCTCTGCCACGGAAGTGATGTAGTTCATGCTGTGGAAACAGGTGGCAAATACAGAATGTAGCTTGTTTCTTATCCTTGAAGATGACCGGGTAGAGAAAGAGCAAGATTGATAAGTTTTCTGATTCCCCTATTTCTTCAATTCCTTCCTAAAAACCAGACTTTTGTGACCTCAGTCCCGAAGATTCAAATGACCAATAGAGAAAGCAGCGGAGACAGAAAAGCAAAAAGTACAAAATTCGAGAAGATCGGAGATGAAGAAAACGTACAAAATTATATATATATTTATATATATAATAACATGACATATCTATGTACAACATGGCTGGGACAGTTGAGGAAACTATACAAGGATGTTCGGCATTTTCCCCTTCCCACAAAGACTTCAGACTAGGAAAGACAGCATGAGGAATGAAGCAAGAAACACAAAAATTATATACAATTACAAGTGACAGTCAAGGAGTTTGGGGGCCAGGAAAGCCAGGGGTCCTGCTCTCTCCCTTCCTTCCTCACCAACCTTCTCCTACCTGACCTGAGTGACCGCCTGAAAAGTGAACGGCCAGTCAGGAAAGCCGTATACACACCTGCCAATCGCTCTGCATGTGCATCAGTAAGTTCATGGTCATTCTCCTGCTAAATCTTGTTTGTGTGTTTTTAAGGTGTATTTAAGTAATCCCTATGCCCTACGTGGGGCTTGAACTCACAACCCCAAGCTCTAGAGTCACACGCTCCTCCGACTGAGCCAGCCAGACGCCACGGGCCATGCTCATCAGGCCAAATGTTTGGTGTATTAGAATTTGTGAGGTGAGAGGGCAAGACAGAGTTACAGGATCTTGTCCTCTTAAACAGTCAGTTGTCACCCCGGGCCTCTCCGTCCTAACCGGCAGTAGGACTCGGGCCAAGCTAGTGCTGAGCGGCCTGAAGACACTGGCCACCCGCGCGCGTCCCCTCCATCTGCTCTCCAATCTCCAGTGCTGCCTCTTATCCCACAGGAGCCGAGTTACCGGGCCCTCGGAAGACGGAGCGGGATTTGGTGCTCTGCCTCTCCCTCCGTGGCCACCTGGCAGCGTCCCGTCCCCCATGGTGAATCATTGACCCTTAAGAACCCGAAGCCCCAGCCCCGCCTCGGCACCAAGGCCCAGAGGCTGGCTCAGTCTGTCCCTCCCCTTCTGGTCTCCCTAGCAGCGCACCTGGCACATGACCACCTGTGAAGCCAGGGCTCCACCACACGTGCGGGACAGGGCAGGGGTCCTCGGGCCTGCAGCTTGGCTGCCAGAGCAGCTTTGTAGCAGCCGAGGCCCCGACCAGGTGCAGGAAAGTGAGTGGGGGTAGAGGCTAGAAGTTTCCGTAGAAGCTAGCTTCTTAGAACTTCTCTCTCCACCCTGAAGTCCATGAAACTCAGGAGGCCCTCTTGCCTGAATTTATAATCCCCAAATCTCAACTTCCTCCCTCCTCCTGCGGTCCTCAAATGGTTCCCCTCCGCGGGCCTCAGCCACGGGCCTCGCTCACTTTGTTGCACCGTGAACAACACAGCCCTTTTTCAGCTGTCAGTGACAGGGGTTTTAAATTCTATCCCCTCATCTACCTTCTGCTCTTTCACAGATGAGGAACTAGAAACCCATAGAGGCTAAATGACTTGACCAAGGCTACGTATCCAGTTCTGCCAAGACGGAACGCAACTGAAGCCCAGATACCTTGACTCCAAACCCAGGGCGAATCTTTCCACTATCCTATGAGACTTTCAAAGCAACATGCTGGAAGAGAGAGAGAAGGTGCCCATTTCGTATGAGTGATGTCCTCCAATCTTTACATTAGTTAAGAGTCACGGCAACCTGTAAGAGACACTCCCTGAGTGAGGGAGGTCAGGTGGGCATTGGAGTTTTAGGCAAGCAAATCAGTTTTTCTTTGTGAGGATTCACTAATCCTGCCATAATGGAAACACGAAGCAATAGCGGCCTAAGGGAGAAAACACTCAGAAGCACAGAGAACAGATCTCATTCAGTCTACCTTTCCCAACTATGTCAGAGTAGCCTCTGGATGGAACCTACCATGTTGTCCCCAAGGCCGAGCCTAATCAGTTTCGGGACATTCTCTTCCCAAAGGAGAAATCACATCTCCCCAGTTTCTCATACGAAAGAAAAAGCGCATCTGCAGCATTATCCAATCCTAGTCTCTTATTTCTGGGCCCCCACCTGGGCTACAGTGAGGGTGAGGAAATCTCAGTTAACCAAAGAAATGAACTCAGAGCCCCTTTTCAACCCACAGCACCCTCTCAGCAGCCCCCAGCAGAGTCACGGTCCTTTCTGGCTAGCAAGCTGACAAGGTCTAACTAGACGCTCATTCCACCCCTGCCTACGACATATCGAGTCCAGCGGGTGAGGAAGGGGAGAGGGGGGCCCAGGTTACCCCGCAAGCTTGCTGGTGACGAGCGAGGACTTTCTCTGGGGCAGGTCCTGCGGGGTGGGGATGTGGTCACCAGTCACCAGGGTCTTGTCTGGTCCCGCACTTGGCAGCTGCTTATTCTTCATCTTGGCTTTGGCCATGTTGTAGTCTCCTGAGTCAAAGTACTTTTGCTAAGAGACAAGAGGGACGTTTAGGTGAGTGAGGGACTCGGGCCTTCCGCAAAAGCGAGGAGACCCACACCCATTACAAACCCTCGTCAATGCTTAGATTTTTCCAGTCTTCCTCGATTAACTCATTGCATCCACAGTTGAGCATTAATCACATGCACTTATATCTTCTCTCCAATGTGTCCTGACGTTTTCAGGTTTGTCAGAGGTTTCCTAGCCACGGTGGAGACTTCATGAGCTCAGGAACAGCCCCTGCCTCCTTCGTACACCCATCAATTCAGGACGGCTCAACCAAATTACTGACCATTCATTAAGGCTTCCTGAGGACCTATCAGTCTCCAAAGGGCTTGGTCCTGGGGAAGTTAACAAGATATCTAGAAGCATCGATCTGGAGCTATCCTAGCCATAGATGTGGAGCTATCCTAACCATCGGCAGGAGATCAACCTCCGGCCAACCACCTCAGAATTAAAAATGATTCTCTCAGACCATGAATAGAAACTGGGCTCGTTCATGAGGATAATGTACTTTTCCTCTGACTCCCACTGCTCCCACACATGTCCCGTGGCTATGACAGCCTGCCCACGCCTGCCTTGCCGACAGCGAGGTAAACTGCAAATCAGCATCACATCATCATCTGTGACTAAGACTCAATGACGAGGATTCTCCACAGGGATCTGTTTCACTGTCTGTTTCACCGCACCTGGGAACCCCCTCCAGTCTGCTGCCTTTCAGTCTCTCGGTTAGCTAAGGCACCTCTGGGGGCTGAGCAGGTGCTGGATGGCTACAGCAGCAGACCCTCCCTTGGTCAGGAGGACCACTCTGGATGGAAAAAGAAGTCTCTTGAGGGAGTACAGTTCATGGCTGGTGCTAATTTCAAGGGTCTGAAGAAAGCTATTCATTTCAAGTTGAAGAAATCTACAGGACAGATGGTCTGATCTTTTTTTGAAATCATGCACCCCAAAATTTAGCTCTCATCTTAAAAAGTGTAGTCCTAAACCTCCCACCACTTGAACAGGCAAATGGCTGGGGGAGTCAGTGTTTCAGTTTCTAACATCCTTCCTCCCCTCAATCCCCCAGCGCCCCCCACACCCAGATGTCTCAACATTAGGCCCTCCTCCCCTGTATGTTACCAGATTAGGGGCTTACTCTTGCCTTGCTCTTTACAAGTTGCTAAATCCTCTCCACCACTGCCCAACAAAACCTCCAAATAAGCATCCAGAAGAGGCTTTACAGATCTGACCCCTAAAGACCCCTTTGAGTCCAAAGTAAGAAGATGAAGAGATTGGGTTCCATACCCCTTTCTGGAGTCTCTTCATGAGGAAGTCGGAGCCCCCAGGCTTTTGTCCTAGGCTTGGATATTTGGCCTTTAGCTTTGCCTCTTCGGCTCTCTCAGGGAGAATACCTTCTTTCTCCTGTGTGTCCTGGAGGAAACAGATGGGCCAGTTAAATTACAAATTGCGAAGCAAGGGCACCTGTGTGGCTAAGGTCACGATCTTGTGGTTTGGGAGATCTCCAAACTTTGAACTCCACACTGGGCTTTGCACACACAGTTGGGGGCCTGCCTGGGATTCTCTTTCTCTTTTCTCTCTCCCTCTCGCTCTCTCTGTCCCTCCCCCACTCACACTGTCTCTCTCAAAATAAACTAAAAACAAAATTTTATTTTTGAGAGAGACAGCACGCCAGCGAGCACCTGTGCGCAGGCTCCAGAGCAGGGTAGAGGCAGAGAGAAGGGGAAGAAGAAGATCCAAAGCAGACCTTGCGCTGAGAGCAGTGGGCCTGATGCAGGCCTCCAACTCATGAATGGTGAGATCATGACCTGAGCCAAAGTCAGATGTTTAACCAACTGAGCCACCCAGGCACCCCATAAATAAATAAGCTTAAAAAGAATTTGAGAAACAACTGCTTCTAATATCTAAAATTTTTTATTGTTTATTTCTTTTTGAGAGAGAGAGAGAGAGAGAAAGAGGGAGAGAGAGAGGGAGGAGCAGAGAGACAGGGAGACACAGAATGTGAACCAGGCTCCAAGCTGTCAGCACAGACCCTGATGCGGGGCTCAAACCCACAAACCGTGGGGATCATGACCTGAGGTGATGTGAGACGCCTAACCAACTGAGCCACCCAGGCGCTCCTAGCAACTTTTATACTGTCAACTTTTCCTGGAAATCTACCCCCTTGTGAATATACTGTCTCTACTCTGCTCCTAAACAAAGCTAGACCTTTGTTCAGATCTCTAAAGCTCAAGATGACTGTATTGTGAGAGGGGGGAAAAAAAAAGACACAAGTTGCTCTTTGCACTACTAGGCTCAAGGAAACACCGCAGTGACCGGGAGTACTGGGTTAAAAATAATACCTAGACACAGTTTTTCAATCAAGAGCAAACCATAGCTCATTCAGCACAGAGGCCAGGAAAGAGAGAGAGAAGCTAACCAGTGCTCTGGTGACCCAAGAGGAGCAGGGCAGTTCCTGGCTCTCCCTAACACCCGGTACAGGTCAAACAGGAAATCAAAGAGGACAATTCTGCTGAGATGTTCCCTTTTTCCCAGAATCTACAGTAGTCAACTGATCTCAGCCTCCTGAGCTATGTGGCCTTCTCCAAATATTCCTACCTTAGTAAAGGAACAACACTGCTTCAGCATTTCCAGAAACATTAGGTAGGAAGGTGACAGGTAAAGAGATGAAAATGGCACTATTTTTAACCTCAAGAAAATAACACACAGGAGGTTCGCTAGTATTTATCCATAGTTTTTGCCAAAAAGTCAACACCTTCCCCAGCGGGCAAGTGATGGAAGTATGGGGAACATGCCAAGAACTTGGGAACTGGCGTGGAGGGGCTCTCACTGGTGTTACTAGTCTCTTCTTGCTTTTTGTGGGCCCAATGCCCTTTTCTTCAGTGACTTTTTACAGGGACCTAAAGCTGGGGTGCCTGGACGGCTCAGGTGGTTAAACATTTGACTCCTGGTTTCAGCTCAGGTCCTGATCTCATGGTTTGTGAGTTCAAGCTCCAAGTCAGGCTCTGCCTTGACTCATGAGCCTGCTTGGGATCCTTTCTCCCTCCCGCTCTCTCAAAATAAGCAAATGAAAAAACATTTTTTAACAAAAGGTCCTAGGGGCACCTGGGTGGTTCAGTAGGTTAAGCGTCTGAGTTCTGCTCAGGTCACAATGTTTCGATTAGTGGGTTCGGGCCCCCATCAAGCTCTCTGCTGTCAGCACAGAGCCCGATTTGGATCCTGTCGGCGCTCTCTCTTTGCCTCTCCCCTGCTCACATGTGCCTCTCTCTCTCTCTCTCTCTCAAAAATAAACAAACAAAAAAAAGGACCTAAGGCAATTTGTGGCTCTTTTTAATGTTATTATATTCCCTTCCCTTGAAAATCTGGCACAGATATAATACCAGGTGCCTTTCACAACGCCCTGAGTCCAGTACTAAATGTTGTAACTCAAATACAAGCCCCAAGAAGAGTTTTATTTGGTGTGTTTTCATCACAGAATTGTGGGTGAACTTAGTCCCACTGCCTTGGAAGTCAGGGCAGTGGTGGAAATACGGTGGCGACTCTTTTGGAGTCTTTTCCAGGTTTAACCTTCATTATTTTTTACGGAACTCTAGTCCTCTTCAGTCCTGTTAGTTCCTAACTGAGGGTGGGGAACAGTTGAACCCCAACCGTCAAAACAGGTCTGAGAAAGTTGCCGCCCCAAAGTAGCCATGATAATTACTTCTCCCTTCCCCCAGTGCTGGTCCTTTTTAATCGTCTCTACCTCCACCTGTATCTTTCTGTTGGGGGCCCCAGACTAGTTGTTGGGCCAGTTACCCCCCCTTATCCAAAAACACAGAACGCTTCTCGGGACCACCGGCCCCCTTTCATTCACCCAGTCTTTCCAAACACCCGCCCCGCACCCAAGCTTGGCCAATGATAGCACAGCTTCAATGGGTTGAGCAGTAGGCCTATTGGCCAATCAGAAGGAGGACGGCACTGACTGATAGTGGGCCCAGCTAATCAGCGCCAGAGCAGCAAGCTGTGTTGAAGCTCACCCTGCGTGACGCAAGAAGTGGCCAACCCCTGCAGAGCCTGAGACCATGGCGACCAATCCGCACTGGTGGGAGACCGTCTCCCGCCCCATCACTGTCGCCCCCAGCTCGCCGGCCCGCACCCCCTCCATTTCACCTGCTTCTCCTCGCCGGTCTCCTCCGCAGGGTTCTCCTCTTCTTGTTTCTGGGACATGGCGGGACCAGGACTGTGAAGTGTTGGGGGCCCGGGAAGTCAACCGGAGAAGGGAAGGGGGAGGGGAAACGGGGACAACCTGCGCTGCTGCTTCGGCTCCTGTCACTAGGGTTGCTCAGTCAAAATGGCGGCCCTTGCCTGTGACGTTGTGGCCGCCCCTTCCTTTGGGAGCCAATGGGAGTGAGGTAGATGGGGCAATGACGTAACGATCTGCCAATAGCCGCTGGCTAGAGGTGGGCTCTTTGAAGGCGACAGGCAAGCTGGAACACCAATGTGGAAAGAGAGTGAGCTCCAAGGACCAATTGGAAGCCCGTGGGGGGTGCTGGGGGCGGTGCAGCCAGCCTCGGCATTTTTGCTCCTTTGGTGGGACGAGACTTCTTATCAGTCTGCGACCCGGCGCCCTGAAGGCTTTGCTGAGCTTCAAACTGGAGAGCGAAAGGATGGAGACCTTTCATTTTCATATGGAGAGGCTTAAGCTTTGCGCAGGGTTAGCAGAAAATTCTTAATCTCCAGAAAAGAATTTGGAAGTCAGAGTGTACCTTAAATTGATGCTCAACACTGTTGCCATATACGTACTTGGTGCATGGAGCGGCGGGACGGAGACCCCAAACCAATTTGTCTTGCGCAGAATGCTCTACGTTCCATGATTGAATTCTTCTGTACAGTTTTTTACTTGTGCAGGGTCAGCCCACGGAGAGCACAGTTCTAGGTGCATGGTAAACATTTAGTAAATCCAGTTAACGCTAGTTAACGTATCCTGAGTCACAGTTCAACAGTATTTCTTGAACGTCGGTGGGTAGATGGTAATGTATTAGTTTTACAGGGGTACGTATAGAATAAGGGAGTCTCTGCCCTAAACGTAGATTAATGGACATGTGGGGAGGCTTTTCCCAGTGTGCCAGGTGTACCCTCGAGTTCAGTAGGCCTATCTTCCTGGAGTGTCAGTCCACATTTTTATATTAAAGATAAAAATTAGTTTAATACTAATAGCCCTGCAAAATTCATATTAAAGTTTCATTTTCCAGGCAGCTTCTGGAGACAGCCTTGGGGCTGTCTGTTCATTTTTCTGTATAATTAGGTGTACTTGTGGGAAAGTCTGAGAAGCCCTGTAATACACAATTATAACAGGCAAAATCTGGTAAGCATTGGAATAAATAAAATTGTTGGTAAGTGTTACAGGGGTTCGTAGGAAGACTCATATTCAGTTTAGATTCCCCACCTCCAGTGACAAAAAAAAAAAAAAAAAAGACTTGGTGGGGCCAGCATTTGAAATAAGTTTGGTTTTTTTTTTTTTTTTAAGTTTTTATTTATTCATTCAAGTAAACTCTGCACTCAACATGAGACTCAAACTCATTAATCGGCTCTTGACTGAACCGGCCAAGTGCCCCTGAAATAAGTTTTAAAGAACTTAGCAGTTTGCTGGGTGAAGGTGAAAGAAGGAAGGGTATGCCAGGTGATAAGTGCAACATGAAGGCTAGAAAAATAGAACTGAGTGCAGAACATGGAGGGCTTTGAATGCCATGATAAGGAACTTGTGAATAATTTAGTAATCCATGAGAAAGACATTTAAGGTTTTTAGGCCAGAGAGAGGGTAGATCAGCACTTCCCTTTAGGAAGATTAATTTGAAGATAATGAATAAAAATAATTCAGAATTCCGGGCAGAAAGACACCAGAAATGGCAGTCTAGCCAGGAGGGCACTACAATACTCTAGGTGGGAGATAATTGGGATTTAAACTAGAAATGTGGTAGTTTATAGTAGAAAACTGTGACTCTAATTGAGAAAGTCTGTGGCAAGCAGTCTACAAGATTCACAGCTGAGTGAATACAGAGACTGAGGAGGCCATGTCCTTCAGGGTGACTCTGCAGAAATAATAAATTCAAGAAGAGAAGTCAATCTGGGAATGGAATTGGAAACAGAAGATGAGGGGTTCAGCTTTAAGAACATCGATTTCTTAAAACGATGGGTCATTGGGTGGAGATATCCAATCAACAAAGCCTTTGGATAAATGACCTGAGACCTCCAACATATCTACAACTTTAGAGGTCTAGGAAATGTAGACCTAGTGTTTGGGAGAAAAGTAGAAGGTAACTATGAGCAAAACTTGGACTTCCTCACGTAAATGTAAGTAAAGTTGATGAGATCATCAGAGGAGAATGAAAAAAAGAGTCCCAAGATGGAAAACTGGATAAAAGTCGGCAAGGAACACAAACACAGAAGATCAGAGGGGTAAGGAGAAGAACCAGGAGAAAAGTGACAGAAGTTGAAGGCGACAAAACTAATTGCATGTCGTTAAAGAGTGAGGAGGTGACAGCAATATTTAACAGAAAAGCAAAGGAAGAAATTAGAACAATGAATTGAGAGACAGCAGAAGTCTGTTTTCTTTTTTGGAAAACAGACAAGATTCAAGTATATTTTCAGAAAAGGGCAAGGGGCTAATTTGAGCGAGAGAAACTAAAAATGTAATTATCCATTTTATGTTTTTAATGTTTACTTTTGAGAGAGAGAGCACACAAGTGGGGTAGGGGCCGAGAGAGAATCTGAAGCAGGCTCTGCACTGTCAGTGCAGTGCATGATGCTGGGCTTGAACTGTGAGATCATGACCTGAGTTGAAGTCAGACACTTAATCGACTGAGCCCCCTCCCCCCCCCCAGGTTCTGCTGTAATTATCCGTTTTAAAGAGAAGATAATGAAAGAATTAAAGTCTCAGAGGAGATCATTAGATCAAGAGGGAGAGAAGCAGACGGGCTGGAGGGGAAATCTCAGAGAGATTTTGAAGCAGCTTTTAAGGAGGTCACATTGAATGTCCTTCCTTTTCTGAGGTCAATCTTTTGAGAATAAAAAGGATGGCAGGGTGGGATAGAGAATCTAGGAAAGATGGTGGTAGAAACAGCACTATATAAAATAGCGATGACTCAAAACAGAAAGATCTGAGATGAGATAGGTATGGATTTATAGTAGGCTTCATCACCCTGGCTGTGTGACTTCGATCAGTAACTCTTGGCTGTCTCGATATGGAGAAAACAGCTTGTTAACAGGGACAAAGGACTGGTAAAGAAGGAACAGTGGAGGGAAGACGACGAGGAAATCTAGATTGGTTTGCCAGTTTGTTGAAATAGCTGACCATGGCATCTAGGCTCTCTAGGAAGGACAGGATAGAAAGGTGACGAAGAACTGGTCATGACACAGGTGAAGCTCAGATTTGATGGGGATGACTGAGAGGTAGAAGAACAGGAGGTTATAGCGAGGGAAATTTCAGTGTGTATCTGGGAAGGTAGAGAAATTACAGGGTACAATGAGCTCCAGCCTATAATTGTAATTGATGGTAGATACGGCAGGGATATAAAGTCACTAACTTTGATGTAATCAAGTACATGCGAAGTCACAGATGTTGAACTCTCAGAGCATAATGATAGGGAAGATGGTTAGGACAGGGTGACTATGACCCGTATTGTGGGAATGAGCTATAAGTCTCAAACATATGTATATAAACATGTAAGTAACACTTTGTCTGCCTTACATTGTGTAGAAAAACTACAGTATTCGGTAAATACGTATGACACCAAATGGGTTGTATTTGGAAGTGTTTAAAAGATCATTTCCAGCTAAGCTGGTCAAGGACTGTTTCAGACAAGGCAGAGCCTGAACTGGGACTACAAGGATGAATAGAAAGGCTGGAGATCAGCAGGGGGTGGGGGAGGAAAGGAAGACAATTTAGAGGACAACCTTGTCTTACAAAAGGGTTAAGGTTCAGGTTGATGGGGTCCTGAGGAGACTAGTAAGTCATGCTCAAGTGTTGGGGTTTCATGAGGACAAAGGGGAACCTGATTTCAAGCAGGAAAAGTATTGTTAGACTTGGGATTTGGAAAGACTTAACTGCAGTAGCTGGGTGGAGAGCGGACTGGAGGAAAGGCGGAGACCGGCTGGACCTCTGCTTCGTGATAGTCCAGGTGAGACCGTGTGGGGTCCGATCAAGGGCAGAAGCAACGTGAATGGAGAGGAGCCGAAGGGACAGATGATATTGGAGGTGGGGAATGAAGACGAGGACCAAGGATGAATCCCAGGTTCCTGAGCGAAGTGCCATTTACAGAGGAGCAAATCCAAGGAGAAGGAATTGGAGGGAAGAAAGTAAGGAGAGAAGATGACCTGAACTTCTTACCTTTTGGCATTTTTTTCTTGCTTATGTCTGAATTTTTCAGGTCAGGACCTAAATATTTTCGGAGTATGAGATGGGATATCCGGGAAGAACACTGTGCAATTTGCCAGTCCATAAGCTACATTCTACAGAAGAATGGCCGTAACAAACCGTGAGACCACGGAAATACCTGGGTCTATTAGCACCCTCTGATGGGCCGAATTGAGAATACCAGGGAATTAACCAAGCTCTATCATCTCCTTGCCTCCTTAACAAACTTAATACTCTTAGAACTGGCCTGAGGTGTAGCCTAAGGAAAGTAGCTAAGTGATCAAAATAATACAGTTAAAGATAAATTTCAAAAAAAGGAAAAACAAGTTGGGGGTGCTTGGGTGGCTCAGTCTGTTGAGTATCTCTCCCCTTCCCTTCTCTACCCCTTTCCTGCTTGTGCTCTCTCAAAATAATAAACTTTAAAAAAAAAGACACTCTTTTTCTCCCTCTGTCCCTCTCCCCTACCCACTTGTATGCGCTCTCTCTAAAATTAAAAAAAATTACAAGGAAAATCATAAATTACACAAATGATGGAACTAATAAGGTGTTAAACTGGCTCAAAAGAGAATCTGAAGGGGCACCTGGGTGGCTCAGTTTGTTTAAGTGTCTGATTTTGGCTCAGGTCATGATCTCACGGTTCATGAATTTGAGACTTGCCTCAGGCTCTGTGTTGACAGCGCAGGGCCTGGAGCCAGCTTCGGATTCTGTGTCTCCCTCTCTCTCCGCCCCTCCCCCATTTGTGCTCTGTCTCTCTCTCTCTCTCAAAAATAAACATTAAAAAAAAAAGAATCTGAAAACAGACAGATACATAGGCAATTAAGAATTCTAAATGAGGGGCACCTGGGTGGCTCAGTCGATTGAGCTTCTGACTTGGACTCAGGTCATGATCTCATGGTTAGTGAGTTTGAGCCCCACATAGCGCTCACTGTCAGTGCAGAGCCTGCTTGGGATCCT